ATGTGGAGCAGCGGCCACTTACCGTAACGTAGCTCTCTGTGGCTGGCACTATCTCGTCTGGTTTTCAGTGGTGTGAGGAGCCAGTCAGGGCACCTTGTTTTCCAAATGGCTAGGTAAGGCAAGTCAGCCTCGTCCGACTGGTTAACCGACGCAGCTCAACTCGAGGAAATAAACGCGAACGTCGCCGATGTTTCACCACTCAGCTCGAGGGAACCCCTTTGAATATCGACGAGAGGAGAGAAGAGACGGAGCAAACAACTCTGTTCTCGCAAGAAGAGGTAACACTCCTCTCCGACACGAGCAGGGTTTGCTCAGGCTGTTTTTTTTTTTTTCTAGCCCATCCACTCTTCTAACGCCAGCACGGCTGAAAACCCCGAGTGCTGCTGCTGGAGACAGAGTCAGTAGCCCGCACACACGTCGCTTATATCCGTCACTTGGCATTAACACTGAACGCAGCTTTCAGTTTGCGCACCAGTCGGTGTGTTGCTACTGAACAACAACTAGCAGCACAACATGACTGACTGACTGACTGACTGCAGCGCTGACAGACGGGAGGGCTGGGCCCCCTCCTTCCATGCAAAGTGAAGAAATCCTCCGCAAAGTCTCCTCCGAGCTCCTTTTGAAATATAAGTAACAAATGTGTTTTACATAACAACAACAAGAACATCCTCATCCCACTTCTGTGCTGAAGCATGTGATGGCAACATGGTGAGGCTTTTAAAGGCGTAGCCACGCGTAACTGCAGGCAGGGGTTGCCTCATTGGACCCACCCCGTTAACTTTCTTGGAGGGATTCGCTGTGGCATTAATTGGACATGGTGATGACTGTCATGCAGCCTGGAAGCACCTGTATTCAAATACAGCGTGTCTCGAAGTGGGGTTTTAGCCAAGAAAACCTCTCCTGTGCTGCTTGCAGGGGCCCCATGCCAAGGATTGCAAGTAGCTATGAGTGAAACCCAAATTTGGGGGCTATATTTCCAACAAACTTGAGGCCATTTTCTATTCATTTTTCTGCGTAAACATACATTACCCCTGAAGCAACAAGCCAGAAATGTATGGATGCTTTTAACAAGTCATGGATATTGACTGTTTATGCTTGTTGCATTATGCATTTCAAAAGTGGGTTAATATTTAGCTGAGGCAAATATGGTAATAATCATTAACGTTTATATGGAAGGGTTAATTCATTGACCAGAGGTTACCAGGTTAGGTCCCAAAACAACCAGATTCACTGTTGGTCAATTAGATAAATATAATTCTATTAATTGCCAAATTCCAGGTATATGCACCATAAATATACACATTTAACAAAGGAGGGTCCTGCATTAATCTTATGTCCATGCATTTTGTTGCAGGGTCCTTTTTCAAAATCTAATATATCTGTTCATAAAGCTGTCTTTTATCAAACTGCCACACAGACGCCCTGGGACCAGATCACTTTCAGCAAGTAGTGTACAAGTACAGGTTAGTGAGACCCGCAAACTACTTAATCCGACCATGCTTGTTTGCCTGTGGATGGTGATCACATTGTAATGATGTAATGTCTTCATTGACCCCCACTGAAAATGAATCTTTCCATTGCTTATGTTCTGTGAGTGGTCAGAGCATCAACTCGGCTGCAAAGCTGCAGCTGGCAGAGATTTAGTGATCTGCTCTAAGACATTTTAATGCAGATGCTTTCTGATGCTGGAGCTTGAATCCAGACTGTCCAGTTGAGAGGTGGTGTCACATGGCCTCCCGCAGTGCTTGTGAGATTTTGAATTGACAAATCTTTCTATAATTATCAAGTTATATCAAAATTGATTATTATCAAAGAAGGATTTGAAAAATGCATCTGAACTGAAGATTTTCATTTTGCCAACAAAGTTCAGTCTGTTGTGGAATTACAGCTTTTGAGCGGTAAAATATTGAGGTCTGAAACAGCAAATGTAAGATGCATTTCCTCATTCTTGAATTTTCAAATCAGTCACACATTTTGTTTTTGTGTCTCTATAAACTTCATAGAGAGAAACTTGTGCTCTTAATTAACTCATCAGACAAGGGAACAGCTGAGACTTTGCCACAATAGTCAACCATGTATTATTTTCATTAGCTGATAATTAAATGTAATTCCTCCACCAAGCAATATAATTCTTGAATACCATCTTAACAAGGTGATTGGCAAGTGAATTCCTCCATTGCTGCAGCTCCTGCGTATTAACATTTGATAACATTTTATGCAGCATTGTAGCTGAGGTGCCATCGCTCAAGTCCAAGCTAAGAAATGTAGGTCTGTTTCACAGCAAATATTCTGACTTGTCATAATAGACATACCATAGGTGTTTATAACAACATAAACAATTAACAAAAATGTCCTCAGTGAAAAAAAGACCAGATAAAGACAAAAAAGCGACATTTTCCCAAAGAGATATATTTGTGACAGTTGATGTTACCACCACACTGTGACACTTTAAATTAAAAGACATTAAAACCCCTCATCCATATTAGTCTTTAATGTAACGCATGAACACAATCAACTGTGACACAACCAATCAAACCTGAGGACAGGAGTGGGAGCCCATGGAGCTGTGAGTGAGGACTCACTCATCCCACCTCTGCTGCCTCAGTTGTAGAAAAACACAGGTTACAATGTGATTTCTGATGAATCGAATAACAGTGGGTATCTTTGTTTGTATTTTACAGCACATACAGGAAATATTTGAATATTGTTGGGGCTGATTAATTAATCTCCAAAATAACAAATTATTGCAACTTTTAAAGGCTCTGCGCTCTCACACAGGTGTTTTCACTTGTTCTGATTAGACAGCTGCTCAGGTTGAAGGTGGGCAGAGCTACGTATGCTGGATTACATGAGGTCACCAAACTATGTGAAACCAATGAGAATGATAGAAGCGTAACTCTCCCGCCTTATCAGGTGCACCAACACTAATAGAAAGCACAGCAAGCAAAGGGATGTAATCAGGCAAAATAAGTGAAAACACTCTGGTACCCAGAGGATTAAGTATATTTTGGTGATGCCCTAACTTTTCCTCTGGCGCCAGCATGAGGTTGACATTTGTGGATTTGTGTCTCAATGATAATGGAGTGGAGAGCCGTAAAATTTGGAGCTGACAATCATGTCCCCCTCAGGATAAATTGTAACCTTTCATCTAAATTTGTTCAGTATTTGGTTTATGACCCACTACCTATAAGACTAATGACATTAACATCAACCTCAGCTGTCAAATGTTAGCATGCTAACATGCTAACATAAAATTGTGAGCATAGTAAAACATTATATAACATCAGCATATTAGCATTGTCATTATGAGCATGTTCGCATGCTGACATTATCCCAAAGTGCCACTGTGCCTAAGTACAGCCTTACAGATCCACTAGCATGGCTGCAGACTTATTTATGTAGTAATGCCTAAAATCATTTTAAGTTGTGCCAACCTAAAGCAAAAATCTGTTTTTTCAGTCTAATAAGGGGGTGTAGTTGGTGTTTTCCACGAAAAACACAGTTCAGTGTGTGATTACAAAACAAGGAAGACAACAGATTGTGAATAATGGAAAACCCCAACTATAGGTCTTGGTATTAGACTGAAATAACAATGGTTTTTGCATGGGGTTGAGACTACTGAGCCTGCAGCATATATAAAGCAAACGCTTGAAAGCAATCAATTAATGGTCCACCTTATTGGGATGAAGCAATGGAACCAGTACATGCAATTTGATCAGGTCTCTGATTGATAATTATTGAATGGTGAAAAAGGACTACAACTTCCTAAGCTGTCCAGGCTCATTACGTAACACTTAGTTTACCCATTTACTGCCAGTGTAGGCTTATCCTTAATTACACACACACACACACAGACACACACATACACACACACACACACACTGTGGGATTCACAATTAAGCTGAATCAGGATGTAGGATGGCTAAAGAGAACGACTGCTAACTAGACGGTGCATGAAAAGAGAAAAGGAGGCAAGCTGGAACATGAAATGTTCCTGTGTCAACAGCAGGGTCCACAAGCCCCTTTTCTTTGACGTCTTTTCCTCTGTTTGTCCACTAGTCACACACACACACACACACACACACACACACACACACACACACACACACACACAAAGACATATTGACACACCCATTCACGTTGTTTTTCTTTTTTTATTTCTCTACATGAAAAAGTAACTGCTTAACTTATCTGCTGTCCTTATGAGAAAGAGATTAGCTAGTAAAGCACACTGTGCTTTATCCAAGCCTCATCATACTGGTTTGCCTAAGTGATCACATTTGCGAAGATGTGCAGTTCTTCTTCTCTCATACTCTATTGTGTAAAACAGGAAGTATCACCCTGTAAATAACAGTGAGCTATATATATACTGTATATTGGCTATTTACATCAGTTATGGTACCACTGCTGACTTTCTCAAGGTCAACCTATTTGTATTACCACTCTTGCTCTAATCAGGCAATCATCTATCTCCATAGTATCAAATATATGTCTTTTAATTCCCTGAAACATTCCTGGGTTCACTGCTTATGAATGGGTAATAGGGGAGATGTTAACAAAGATGTCATTAAGTTGATTTGTTGGAATGTCACAGTTGTGTATTGTAAATCAAAATATCAAACCACAAAATAATAAAAAATGGGGTGGAGAACAAGCGTCAAAGGATATAAATTTGCTCTTGCAGGAATTACGTTTGTTGATGTCAGCCAGTGGAAAAACATGTCACTGCTTTAAACCAGACACGGTGCCTGGTCTCAAGATGAAGCTTCGAAAAGCTCAGAGGTAAAACTTTAATGACTCCCACCCTTCGATGTTTCCAGCATCCTCTTGTTTTGCTTTCTCTATAATGAGCACAGCCAATCACCATTCGAGATTCTTGCCACCTTAGAGAACTTGATAACAAGGCTGGCTGGTCAGTGATACGGGAAATCATATCTCTTCCTTCTTCTGTGACAAGAACACAGATGTGACTTTTTGTGTGGTTTAGCTCCTTTTTAATAATGGAGGATTTTTCTGTCAATCTCATGGTCTTAAGAGTCATCATTTCTTGCATAGGACTTGTGGGTAATGTATTTCTAATCCTTTCCACCATTCAGACCAAGTTCTCCAGAGTGAAGTCCTTTGAATTGTTTCTACTGGGACTGGCTGCGGCCAACTTGGAGGAAATTCTCATCGTGAACATCTATGATATTGTCATCCATGAGATTTCCTCCTCCATCGCCGACACTTGGATGTGTCGCTCATTCAAGTTCCTGACTGTGTTTGGTGAAACTACCAGCATCCTCTTCACTGTCCTCATCAGCATCTTCCGCTACCAGAAGCTGAGAGACGCCAGTACGAGGGTCAACCTCCCAATCTGCATGGACAGCATCAGGTCAGCCTTGATGGTGAGCGGGGTTTGTGTGATATTCTCCGTGCTATTCAGTCTCCCCATTTTAGTCATGCACCTGCAAAGCCCAGCGGGAAACAACACAAGAAACACAGTCGGCTGCCCCCCAGACTTCTTTCAGTGTAGTAGAAATCATTGTCCCAAACTCAACCGCTTCTACAAGTATGTGTTCCTCATGATATGCAACCTGCTGCCTCTGATCATCGTCACAGCCACCGGCTGCCTCATCATCAATGTGCTGCTGAGCCAGAGGAAGACTGTGACACCAGGGGTGAACGTGAGTGGGTCGAGCCAGTCCAGCAGGAAGAGTAAAGGTCTGGGGTTTCAGCGAAGCACGGTAGCTGTACTGGCTGCCATGGGGTTGTTCCAGGTAGACTGGACTCTCTACCTGATCTTCCATCTGAGTTTCAGCCCCACTGACCTTCCTTTTTGGGCTGAAATGGAGTTCTTTATCTCAATTTCCTACACATCCATCAGTCCATATGTGTACGGGATAGGGAATAACCTGTTCAATCTCAAGAACTGTATAAAAAGGTAATTTAGATCTTTTCTTCGGGCCTGACTTGTCAGATTTTTAAACAGAAAATATCATTTGAAATTGTGTTGATGATGAAATATTAAGCAGAAACAAGTTTTTAAGTTTATCAATAAAAATGCTTTTTTAATTACTAAACGTTCTGTATTAGTTTGAGGAAGCAGAAGTTAACACTTTTTTGAGCAGGTAATCTTTTTCTCTTCAGTAAACAGATTACAGCTTTGTATTACTTTTATTTCCATCTAATATGAAATGAAAAGGTTCCTTTGGTACAAAAGTTTTCAGTCCAAAAGTTTTATATATATATTTTAAATCAGCCACATAGCAAATGCCTCTTTTGATTGACAAAAGCATTAAAGGACTGTCATAACTTGAAAAACAAAATGTTTCCATGTCTTACAGCCTTTCAATGGGAGGAGGGCAAGTGAATCTCATGTGCTGCAGTGTAACCTATAAATAAACACTAAAGACATAACAAGTCTCTGCTTCCCTCTGATAAATGCAGACTCACACATTGCCTTCGTTTTTCCAATGCAATTATCTACACAATATTACACTCTTGTGCACGACCTGTATTTACAGTGCAGTAAGCTGAGTAAAGAAGCAGTGCTGTTCTTCACACACCCTCAAAAAGCAGATTCATAACTTGGCCCAGTCACCTTTCACTAACCTCTGCTGCTCTTATTTGAATGTAAATACAGATACCTTACAACTGTGGATAAGACTTGAAGCTGCATGCATAGATCTACCGCTAAACACTCAACTGATCATTTATTGCCATCCACTCTCATCCATGAAAGGTTTGTCCTATGACAGGTCAGGCATTGAGACCTTTGACCTTGATCTGTTTTGACATGACTCAGGAACAGGATAAAGGCTGTGGTTAGGCTTCGTAACTTCAGTGAAAAGACTCTGGCTCCTGTTGAAAGTGAAAATTATCACAGGCCACATATGAGTCATGGTGACTCACTGAGTCTGTTTGTGACAAATTTAGTTAGGTTTATTGAGATCTGGATGATAGCAGGTTCACGTCAAAGCTCTGTTAATCCGGGGTTAAATGTGCCACTTAAATTGTTAGTGATAAATATATCTACACCAAATAGGTGAACTTTACACCACTCTACATACACTACAGCAAACTCTAAAACAGCCTGTTTTGCCCTTTTGCTGCAAGAAATTACACTACAAACCAAATAAAAAGCTGTTGAGGTCATAGTGAGGCATGAGTGTCTCTGATAAACCAAGGAGACCCGTGCTGCATGTGACTGTGGGTCATTATTTTTCTGTTTCTTGACATCTTAATTTGGGCCTTGAGTATAACTCTGATAAAATATAGATCACTGTCAACATGTTAACCAATATATCATGTCCACTGTCTAAATGCTTAAGCTGTTCCTTACTAACACTGGTTTTAAAATGGTGGTGATAGATTAAATATTATGCCTGCTTGTGGTAATTTTAAACTTGGTTTGACAGTTGTGACAGAACTCACAAAGGCCATACAAAGCCCATGCACTACTCATTGTCTGTGCTGCCACTGCTCATTTTGCTTCAGTGACATCACATTTTGGTAGCTGTCAGTACATACTGTAATGTATGTTATGTAAGTAAAACAACAAAGAGGAAGAGTTCTTGCACTGGTACCTTTACAGAGATATTTAATGCAACTTGCACAATCTACAAATTAAGAATAAAGGGGACGATGACACACTTAAGAATTGTGTCACAAGAGGAGGGCAACAAACTTTAAGTTTGGTTAAATGGTAAAAATTTTAGTTTTTGGTTTTATTGTAGCATCCCTATATATGAAAAATAAGTCATTTGCATTTGATTTTAAAATTTTTACTCAATAAGTGTATTATAAAAATCCATCCCTTTCTAGTGTTGCAGCTGTGTGTGTGTGTGTGTGTGTGTGTGTGTGTGTGTGTGTGTGTGTGTGTATTTGTGTGTATTTGTGTGTATTTGTGTGTAAGAGTACAATTGTAACCTCCTGGGATAGTTTTTTCTACAATTTTAAATACAATATTTAAATTGCACTATGAATACATTTATGTTTAATGCATAACAATCCATCTGTTCATCTGTCACTGGGATAGTTGAAAAGTGCCTGCAGGATTAAAGCCGTATTCAAATGATGTTATGGGAGATTCTACACATACATGTTGCTTTGTGCAGATTAATTACGCACTGTCTTATGTGAAACGTGCATACTGTAATAGCCTTTCAGAGTCCATCCCTCACGACTAGATACATTTAGTTCATAATTTGACTGCACTGGTTTAATTAGTTTTATTATTAATTTACACAACTAGGACGAACTGAGGATGAGGGGCAGCCCAGCAGGGACGGGATGCAGCGCATCACCACGAGATCTCCACGTGGAAAACAACCGATGGTTCATGGGGGCAATTTCCCACTTCCTAGTCCCGGTTAGACCCCGCCTTGTTGACTCAGTAACATGTACTTTTGATATTGTAGTAATTTCTTCTTTTTATTTGAATAGGCTGGATTATTAAACCTACACTGGAGCCTAACGTTTTAAGAAAAATCGTGTTGTTTGTTTATTTTAATGTCACAAGTGAGAAATATAAAACGCCTAAGATGACATTTCTTACTCAGTCAAAATTGTAATTTGGAGTTAAATCCATGTCTACAACCACACCTGGCAGTTGTAATACATCCTCGCCACATTTATTCATTTATTGGTTTATTTAGCCTATTGAATTATTTAGATCATGAAACAATTGGCCATAACCCCACCCCCTCCCACCAACAGAGCTGTGGTGAACACAGAGCCATCTTCCTTACACTGCAAATGGTTTTTAAAAGAAATCTCACAAACAAATGAGATGATAATGCATTTCATGTCGAGTCCAAGCTCGAGCTGCAGTCAGAATGTCATGGTTTGTTTGGTTGGTTAATTTTGTCTCCAGCAAGATGTTTTGCTCGCCATATTTAGAACATCACGCAAGGACAGACAACATTTTTGGGGTGATACGGTTACTTGAAAGTGCATGTTTTAAAACACAGTGCAGGCCACTCGCTGTGCCATACATTTAATTAGAGGGTGTATAAATTTGCTAAAGATTGGATTGTTGTGGATTAATAACAGTGCAGGCATTTAGTTACATCAGTCAGTATGTTCTATTTTTAATGAAATCTCTGTGATATAAGGCTGGGCCACGTTTAGGCTAAACAGAACTTACTGAGTATTTTCTTTTAAAGTCTACATCTGAAGTCTTGGGCTTCAAAACCAAAAGGTAACAGCAACCCAGTAAATAGCCACTATCCAACAATCGCCATGCTCCAACTTCCTGTGCAACAATATTTGTGTAAACATGACGATAGGACAACTATAATTTAGAAATAGCTGTTTTGTTTAATTAATATGCAAGAGAGTTTTATTTGGACAAATATTCCATTATTGTAACTACAACGTCTCGCTGCCATCTTTATCAGAGAAACAGTTGTCACCGCTGTCTGCATCATACTGTAGAAAAGGTAAAGTAAGTTATTGATTTAGACAGTACAGGTCAGTTTTGATAGTCTCAGTGCAGTTTGAACGAGGAAGCCACGCTGGTGGTTCCGTGTTACAAACAAACTTTTTTTCATCGACGGTGTGTTTTGGTCATTTTTTTCAGGCCACTGACACCATGATGAAAAAGCTGGCCGGTAAAATCCTCCGCAGGGAGCTTGCGCATTGGCTACTGGAGCTCAACCGCCATGGTGAACGTGTGACGTCACAGCCCGAGAGCACGGATGTGTGTGTATGTGTGTGTGAGAGAGAGGGGCAGAGAGGAGAGTGTGTGTGCTCCACGGAGGGTGAGAATGGAAATGTAATCGACAAGGTAAAAGAAGTGAAGGAAATACAAAGGAAGGAAGAGAAAGTCTCAGGTCTTTGCTCTCAGCGCAGGATTTACACATCCGAAACATATTCACGCAAACTTGCTGAGAGTTGTCCTTACCGGCGCGCGGACTCAGCTCGAGGTGGGAACAAACGAAAAAAAAAATCTTCGGGATGGTGGACTCCCGCTTCCCTCGCGGCCCGGGAATCACGCGCCATTGAAGGGGGGTGATATTGTGCATGCGCTTTGGCTCTACAGCGTGCACGCTCGGGTCGGTCGATACGAGCACACTGGCGTGGCTCTCGGCCTCCATTTGCCAGTTTGTGTTTATGTTCGAAGGATTCAGCGAGGCCCTTTCAACGGCGACGACGACGTGCAACAGTTGGAGTTTCACCGTGAACGTTATTATTGTTTCTCTCTGGTAGGCCACGAGGTATTCAACCGACACTGAAAGGTGAGGCGTTAGTGAAACCTGCAACTTTTCCAACTTGGTGAGTGGTGGAGCGGGCGGCCTTCCTTCCTCTGCGGTGTGTGAGGAAGAAAGCTGTTGTCAAACAACTTAAATTCTTGACTTGGCTTCGTATTTTAGGAGGAAAATAGTTACACGGAGAATAGTTGGGAGTTTGTGTCGTAAACACGCCGGTAATAATTCATTTCAGGCGTCGTTCGGCCGATTAACACCTTTTAGATCTGCATCTGTGTGTTGGTGTGACTGTGTGATTAGTAAATTAACCGGGGGGCAGGACAACGAGAATACAGGTTACCTATTTCGCTTGTTCTCTGTCGTCGACAAAAATGAATTCAATTTGACTTGAAAGGTGCAAACGATGTACAGACCGACCGTTTAGAATCAGTTATCTGTACTTAAAATAAAGGCCTGTCCGAGCATTTCAGCCATGTCCTCAACTAGGTGATATCAGACAGGCTATTGGTCAGTCACACCAAAGGGGTCTCGCAGCCCACTTCAAGAAGGCAAAGTCCGCATTTCTCAGACTGACTAGAGAAACTGTTGAACTGAAAAATACTTAAGACAGACGTAATTTTGTGCATGTGATAACAGAAGTAGAATCGTTCACATATGATATAATGATGATTCTAGGTGGTGGAGGTGTAGTGTTTTCTCCAGGGGCTCAGCATGGGTGGTTTCATCTTTTTAAAAAATATTATTTTGTACTATTACAGATTATGTTATCACAACAAAACATCCTACTCTTTGTATGATGCCACGTTTTAAGTCTAATTTTAGAAAAAGTTTCCTCAACTCCTTGCATAATCCCAGTGAAAAAGCAGGCTTTTTATATATCCGGCTGGGTTAGATATATTTTATAAACGCATGTTTTGCATATCCATACATGTTAGAACAAGTAATCACCAGCTGTTTGAAGGACCACATATGGCCCAGGGTTGTAAATAAATGATCATTTCTCCATTAGTAGCTAATTTATTTTTCAGGAGGGTATGGCCTATCCTAAAACTGCTCTGCAATGGTTTGATTCTTATTGGAATTCCTGTTGGACACAAAGAGCTGTTCTATGAATCATGCAGATCAGATATCCTGAAATATGGCCCAGGTGCTCTTCAGCTTACAAAACATTCACACAGCCAGCAACCTGAGAGACCAATGGTTGGATGCCCTTTAATTTTGTATGATATAAAAACAATGCTGTGATATTGACTTAAGTCATCTCATTTCTTCCGTTGATTTCACAGAAAATATTGTCGCACCTTAAATTAAGACCATGTTTATTAGCATTATTAGTATATCCTAGATCTGTCATTTGTAGCAACTAATGCTGCAACACTGCTGATGTGACGACTAGCTGTAAATTTGCAAGTTGCCAACCTCTCGGTAGCTCCTTGAAGTGTATTTTTCTTTTCAAATAATGTATTGAACCTGTGTACCTTAGGTAAATGTGTGTTTTAACGGAAAACTAAGAAGACCAAAGACCAAAAAATAATTAGAAGAAATTGTCATTTGAGCTGCACATTGTAGGTTGTAGAGATTGTTTACATTTCTTGATTCTTCTCTTGTGGCTGTTCTTTTCTGTCAGTGTTTGCTCTTGAATAAGCATTAATTGTTTCTATTTACTTTTGTCGACATTTTTGATTGGTTGTGATTTTTATGTCTTGTTTGATTAGATCAGTATCTCTGTGATGTATGTTGTACCTATTGAACATCATTGTACTGCATAACACTATTGTTATTATTGTATCATTTTCTGTTAGGCATCAAATGACGTGGAACAGCGGCAGCCGTTGATGATGCCGGTTACAGACTCTGAACTCACATCCATGGAGGAACCCCATGCAGTGGAGGATGAGAAGGGGAGCTTGACTAACGTCCCCTCCTCAGCTCCTCCTACGACCATCCCTGCTTCAACGCCTCCTTTCCCTACCACTATAGCTAATTTCACTGGTGAGACAGTGATTGAGAACAGAGCTGTCTCCATGGCAAGTAATGACTGCAGCTCGGCTCTCTCTTCACCTGCTGAAGCCAGCCCAGCCAAGCCTGCTGTAACATCACCCACTACATTTGAAGGGGCTGTTGAAACAAGCCCAGCTACCTCACACATTGCATCAGCGTCAGACTCCTTAAAATGCACAGGGACAAGCCTTGTCAACATTTCAGAATCACTACCATTGTTGTCTGAGTTGCCATCTACCACATTTGGCAGTTCAGACCTGGAAAATGACTTTTCTCCTGCACTGACCTTCAAAGGCGTCACGGTGTCTCTGGAGAATAACAGTGTGTGGAGGCAGTTCTACAGCTGTGGAACTGAGATGATTCTCACTAAACAGGGGCGCCGCATGTTCCCTTACTGCCGATATCGCCTGGCTGGCCTAGATCCTGAGCGCCAGTACAGTCTGGTACTGTCCATAGTTCCATCTGACCAGTACAAGTACCGCTGGAACAAATCCAAATGGGAGGTCACCGGACCAGCGGAACACCAGGCCCAGGGCCTTGTCCGGGCCTTTGCCCACCATTACTCATCCTGCAAAGGCTCAGACTGGATGGGTAGCTTGGTATCTTTCTACAAACTCAAACTGACCAATAATACCCAAGACCAGGAGGGCCATATAATCCTACACTCCATGCATCGCTACATTCCTAGGCTACATGTGATACCTGTCCCAGATGGGGTCGTACCCACACCTGATCAGCCGGTGGTTATGGGACCAGAGAGCATGACCTTTACTTTCCCACAGACTGAATTCATGGCTGTGACCACTTATCAGAACTTTCGGATCACGCAGCTCAAAATTAATCACAATCCGTTTGCAAAAGGCTTCAGGGAGGACGGGAACAACCCCCGCCTAAACAGGGTCACCACAGAGGCTCGACCTCTGGTCAAGACAGACACTCAGTCCTGTGTTATAGAACAAAATGAAAGCAAAGAGGGGGCTGTTGATCTGAGGTAAGTTTGGGATGTTTTCTTGTCTTATTTGGTTACTTTGCAACACACTATCTTACAGATGACAATTTTTTATGTGAGACCAGTTGGAATGCTTGAATTCAATGAACTTCTGTTATTATCAATTGAAACATATGTTCATTATGCATATTGATGTTATATTTTTGTTTTGTTATATTGGTGTTAAAAATGTTTGCAGATTCACCTCTCTTAACTAATAAATCGCAATAATAAGTCAGGAAAGCTTTTATAATAAAGATAATCAAAGTCATCACATGAACTTAAACATTAAATTGAAAAAATGTATGTAAATAAATAAATTCTGCCAGGTCACTTAAAGAAGCAACAATATATACAGAATGTGGACAAAATAACACATCCGTTTAAAGTATTTAAAAATAAATAATTTCAGCTAAAACATGACCACAGTCTTGACTAAAACTAAGAATTACATCTATGCAATTCAATATCCACATAACCAAAATCAGTATTTATTGCAAGCCTGTTGTATTGAATTACATTACGATGTGGGGAGTTTTACTACTGTCTTAGAACCCAAATGAGACTTTAGGATGAGGTGTAGGATTGGGAGGCACATATATAAAAATTTTAGCATGTTATGCAATGATAAGTACATGGACATAAGTAGGGAAATATGTGTCAATTAAATTGCTGGAATTAGCTTATTAAAATATCATCACCACATGCTGTGCCATTACAAATTTAATATATTTTTGAATGAGATCATCATTAAATCCTTTTCACTTTTTATGTGTTAAGTATCTTATAAACTATTCCCTTTTATGTGTCTTACAGCATGAAGAATCATATCGTCCCTGCTCCTCTCTCAAACGTGCAAGAGACTAGACTGGTCCTGAAGCCGATAATGTCTACCCCTGCCAGTAAGGATGAACCATATGTCCCCTGTATAAGAGGCAAGCATGCCCTTGGTGAGCTTGTGCTTGTCCAAAAAAGTTCACTTGTGGAACCCAAGGAAGAAAACAAAACGCCTAAAGCCATATCCATGACTCCTACCTCCTCAACGTCTACCCCAAGAGCATCACCTTGGAGCCGCAGAAGAAGGAAGAAGATCAACAGACGCTGGGCGAATTCCAGAGGAAAAGAGTGGAAAACTGCTGCTGCCTCTCCCACGGTAGTCCACAGCCCATCACTGACTGTGGCTTTGCAACCAGAGCTGGATGATGTAGAAGGCCTGCTGTTTGTGTCATTCACCTCAAAGGTATAACACTGCAAATTACTGCAAGGAATGCTCTGCACATATCAGCATGTCTCTACAGGGTTTATTTCCATATAATCCATGTGTGGTACCTCTTCCAGTGATCCATCTCATCTCAGATATGCGTGTTGAGTTTTCACTGAATTCCTGAAATGGCATTTGTTGTGTAACAGAATGACTTTCAGGGCACTGTGGTAAAAGTCTTATAAAGTATGTTGACTGTAATGTTCTTTTGTTACACAGGAAGCTCTTGAGGTTCATGTCAAGAACAAGCCAGCCAGTAGCTCAGCACCAGTGTCTCCAGTTTCCCCAAAGACTCAGAAGCAACTCACGCAAACATGTAAGCAGTGCAGAGATTTTAATTTATTTTGGATGTTTAACCTGTATTGTTCTGTTGTAACTTAGTTTTATTTTACTCGCCTAGTAATGACACAAATGTCACCTTGTAAACATTTCTGTGGTGTTTCAGTGGAGGTGATCCCAGAGACTGTTGAGGAGAAGATAGCCCAATTGGAGGCTATCCTGCTGCAGGACCTCAGAGTTCTCAAACACAGACAGGTCATCCATCCCGTGCTGCAGGAAGGTGAGTTCATACAAACACACAGTGGTTGAGTTGGCTATACCAAGTAATGTAATGTGAATATGATCTCTCTTTGACTCATTTTTTGTTTGCTTTGTAGTGGGCTTGAAGTTGAGCTCCATAGACCCCACTAAGTCCATTGACCTGCAGTATCTCGGGGTTCATCTGCCACTGCCTCCAATCAAACTACCAGATCAAGGTGATGCCACGGCTCTGTCTCTTGGCGGTAAGTTAGACTGATCTTTGACAGTTTGTGCATGCTTTATTGAAGGTATAATCTTGTACATTTAATTTGTAATTTTAATTTGTAAATTTGTGGCAGTGTTGTCAAAATAAGGAAATGAGCAATAAACCCTAAGATTGAACTTTTTTCGTTTATTGTCCCCCTCCTGGGCAAACCGGGCCATGAGAAATTTGTCTTTTCGAAACCGGTCCATGGCGCAAAAAGGCTGGTGACCGCTGATCTAAACTCTTACTGTTTGTGGACGTAGGGGTCAAAGAGTGCCCCCTTCGCAACCTCAGGCTCAACTTCTTGACTAGTGTTGCACCCCTAACTGTAGGGTCATTGCTCAAAAACTGATCCCTATGGAAGAAGGGTGCATAGGGATAGCGGCGATTTAAAAAATAAAATAAAAAAACGAGTAATCTTGAGTGCATTTGTAGAAAAAAATCTGGTGTTTTGCCATGAAATCAGGATTTCGATTTTATTTATTTATTATTTTAGTATTTATTTACATATTTATATAACAATTTTTTTTTAAAACTCTCACAGTAGAATTATGTCTCCCCCTCTCTTTTCCTAAAATAAGCACATTTGCAAGATAGCCTTATGTATTTAGAAGGATAAATTACAATAGACATAAGATAATAAATTACCTACTTCCTGCAAGCCTCATCTGTAGTGTGTCAGTCGTGCCAGATTAGAGCCTTGTATGCTTTCGAGATGCATGACACAAGACAAGCCTGTAAAGTGTCCTTAGTTTAAGAATATGCCCTAGAAATGGTTGTAAAATGGACTGCTTGTGTTTTTAAACACGTGGGCCAGACCTGGTATTATCATCCATGGTGGACAGCTCTAAGTTTTGAGGACACACTTGAGATCCGATCACTCAGACCACGTTCTTTCAGCAGTTTGAGCACAAATGCTTCCGCGGCCACATTGAAGGGCCGCCTATTCTACTGACGCCCTCTACCAGTCAATACACTGTATTCTTCAATGAAAATAGTTTTCTCGTTAACAATGAGAATAAAATGGTGATCATATCTGTTTCTACAATAACATTTAAACCATCACTGTGAGTATTAGTGTGCTGTGTCCTTAAACTGGAGGCTGACACAGTATGTTTCCTTCACAGATAAGAGATTACCCTTCATGTCCAGGACAGGAAAGACAAGTGACATGACAAAAATAAAAGGATGGAAAAACAAGTTCATAAAAAGCAAAGAAGCATCTCCTTCCGACTGTGATGGTGAGATTTGCTCATCTTGTTGCACTATCTGTAATGTCCCTTTTATCATGCAGTGGGATTAGTATAGTCATTCTAATTACCAAAAGATTAACTGAACTGAACTGAAACCAGTGGAATATATTTGTGTCTGATTCATTATTCCCTGTTGATAAATTAAAGTCCCTTTATTCTTCCTCTCCAAAAGGATTACAAAGGAACCTATCTGCCTTCTGCAGCAATATGTTGGATGAGTACTTGGAAAGCGAAGCTCAGCAAATTAGTGAACGGGCTGCTGCCTTCTCCACACACCCAGAGGGCTCAGTGGCCTATCAGCTGCCTGCTAAAAGCTCCAGCTACGTAAAGACCCTGGACAGTGCACTTAAGCACCGAAATGCTGCTTCCAGATTCCCAGTGGGGGCCAACAGACCATGTCCCCTTTCCCACAAGCCCCTCCTTTACTCTGCCCTGACGTCACCGGCTCCTCCTCTGGCCAGCCCTGCAACACCTGTTCGAGCAGGAGTTCAGTCCATACAGCAATCAACATCTTCACATACACAGCCAGGAGCTCTGATGTCAGTTGGTGAAAATGCTGATTCACAGAGGTAAACAAGAGCATGTTAGTAACATCTTCATTTTTAGATTGTCAACTTTTTAGACCTCAGAGTTTTTCTAGTTTTTTTTATTTTTTATTTAGTTCTTTTCCTTAAAGAGTCAAAGTAAATAATTGATCACATTATATATTTCTTGGTAATCGCACAGAGATATTATAGCAATGGCTAGAGGAAAGGGAAACTTAATCCCAAATAACAACTCAAAAAAAATATTTACACTTTTAGTTAAGCACAGTTAGTTTCCACATATTACTTTTTCTTGTAATTGCCTTGCTTTTCCTGTGTGTATTTTGTTATTTTCAAAGGCCCAATCTGTAATTTTGGGAAATGGTTACCAGAGTTAATGTCTTGATTTTACCACTTGTGTCTGAATTTTATGTGGACATGATGCCACTGATTGCAGGACAATTTGAACATGCTTACTTTGAAGAGACTCACACATTATGCATTTTAAGAACCCAGTCTTTCTCAAGTAGCACATTCTTTTTACATAATAAAAACATCTTTCCATGTAAACTTCCCTGCTTCATTCTCCCAGCCTTATAACCCCTTGTTTTACCACTCAACTACAACCCACACATCAGACCAAAACACAGAATTGACGGGGCATGTTTGGCCACAGACTACTTTGCACTAAATATAAGCTTTGGACTTTGGTTTTTTTCAAATCTGCAGCTACAGTATTTTTGTTTTAGTCCACCTAGGAAGTTCTGGACAACATGAGCTTTGTGGTTATGAAGAAGCACATGATACAAACAGATTAATTAAAAATGTACAACACTAATCTGCTAATTTCTTCCCCTCTCTCTCTTCAGATCATCTACATACCAGCCAGGGGTCGGCCAGAGACCAGCGATGAACTATGGGCAGAACCAAGGGATGGCACACAGACCCACAGGCCTCACTAAGGTCCAGTTCAAACTGTTGCAGATGGAGATTGCAGCCCTGAGCCAGGGTGTGAGCAGAACACACCTGACTCCAGACAGGCTGTCAGCGGCTCTATCTGTAATCCTGACAAAACAGGTATGCAACATACTGTGCAAGTAATCTGTGTGTGTCTGTGTATCATGTACAGTGTCATTTGATATTAATGATGGATTGTGTCCATTGTGATTGAAAATACTTTGAGAGTAATTCGGATATCAGAAGTGTTGTCCCTCTTCTCCTTTCCTTTTATTCAGACGTTGCCTGGTCAGGTCTTGAAATCTCCCAAGTATCTAAAGTATAAAGTTGGGGGACCTGAATGTGGTCAGGAGTTCTGCAGACTGGGTTGTGTGTGCTCCAGTCTCCAGCATCTGAACAGAGGTCCACTCCACTGCCGTCGGCCTGAATGCATGTTTGGATGCGCCTGCTTCAAACGCAAGATCACCAAGCAGATTTCTATGGGGGAGAGGCAGGAACAGATCCAACCTGTTTACTGTAAGATTTAAGTTATTTTTACATAATCAATGTATGTTGTTCGATTTCTCTCCAATAATGATTTCACCGTGTAGGGCAGTGAATTCATTTGATCTTTGACAGAGATCACATTTTAAATACCATTTGAACTATTTGGATTTTTTTTTCTTCTGGTTTTAGCTTCTGTTTCCAGCTCAGTTTGGCCACAGCCATCAGTAACTCAGAAGTGTTAATGAGATGCTTTTATCCCTCCCCAGCTATGACTAATATAGAGAATGCGGTCCAACCTCACCCGGGCTCCCACATAAAAAAACTGTGGAACCGCAATATTCATGATGTGGATCCAGAGCCGCTCTACGCCCCCAAAGGTTCTCAGTGTTTGGTCCCATCAAAACCCCCAAAACGCACCAGTGTACCTCGTCCAACGCCACCGGTAAAATAAAATCTTTCTCTTCTTGGATTTAACTGAGGCTTTTCCTATCTAGTTTTTGATTTATTCATTACAGACTTGTAAAAATGGCAAATTATTTAGTAGAGTGTAAGATATGAGAGCTAAACTTTAGTTTTTTTTTTTTGCTTGTTTTATGTTTTAGGTGTAAAAAAATTGTGCTTATCTCTTTTTTCCCTCTCTTTTGTCCCTTTTCTTTAAAATGAAAAAAAAAAATTAAAATTGATCATTTCAGATAAGAGAGGAGGACAAGGATCCAGTGTATAAATATTTGGAGAGCATGATGACATGTGCACGTGTTAGAGAGTTCAACAGCAAGCCTCCTCCTGAAGTTACCATAGAGCCAAAGATCCCTAATATTTCTACACCAAGCACCAATAAAAAACTGCAGAAGATGACTGACAACCAGCCAAGACACTACTACAGAACTGTAAAGACTAAAAAAGCAGGTAAAGAAATTGACATGGTGCATTTCAGACATAATGTAATGTTCTTTGTGCTGTAAAAGTTCCATCTGTCAATGAAAAATAGGCAACATTTTATTAAATCCCTATGTCTTGCCCTTTGTGTTGGATAGATATACCTGACTATATGATACTGAAGGTATTTGTTGCTACACATAACTATATGTCCTTGTGTCCCTCAGCAGACAGGGCCTGTCAGGAATCCACAGCCAGTGAAACAGAAGCAAGGAAACAAATACAGATCCAGTCAGCGTGCCATTGGGACAAGGACCACAAAATGGTCCTTGAAGCTTTATGTCGACGCATGAATCGGAATCGGTTGTCTCAGCGTTTCTACATAGGACCTTACCGCATCTGCCCAGTTGCCAAGATCTTCATGCGGAAGCCCAGTGGCTCCATTGTCACCTATAGGGTAGGCCTCTGAAGAGTAGTGCACTTGTGTCGTATTGATGTGATTGAAGTCCATTATCTACTGTATGTTGTGATATTTGAAAAGTTATAGTGATTCCAGAAAATGCTGTTCCATCAGTAGTAGGAACACTTTGCAGTTGTGCTGGCCTTCTGCATAGTTAGGGTGTGTTTTTCACTTTAACTTACTGTCTTATTACCTTCACTTCTCAGCTATTCACATGACCAGTTACAAAGAACAGCTGGTCCAAAATAGACCAGTTTCTGAATATTATAAGCTGTACTTTACGTTCCTCTAGGTACACATCAGTAAACCATCAAAAGCCAGTGATTATGAGGAGGATGAATTTGATGACAGTGATGAGGAAAAGGTTGCCAATAAAAGCTTTGATGGAGACATCAATGCAGAGGCGGAAGATGGTCAAACTGAAGAGTCAGAGATGCAGTTTGGAGTCACACCCTTCCTAAGCGGAGTTCTACCCGCCGGCAGACTGAGAGCCAGGACCAAACCTGTTGGCTGCCAAGTAAATGGACTTATACAGGTCAGGCTCGAGGAAGTGCCATTTATTTATAACACTTTTAATATAGTTTCATCAGGTTTGGAACAACACCAAGTAATACATGACTGATGGCATTGATAATGTGTGGGGAAAGTGTATGTGGTTGAAAATGTGAGCTTTAACGTTATTGAGTAATGCCACATATTTCCTCTTTTACAGGTAAATGGCAAATGCTACAATCAGGCAAGACTGTTGCTGGGGAACATGGGATCTCTACATCCAGCTAACCGCCTTGCAGCATATGTCACAGGCCGACTGCATACTCCTGTCGACACTGTTCATAAAGTCTCTAAGAAACCACAGTCTATGCAAAAAAATGACACTCCTGGTACTCTGCGCATAAAGGCTGCAGGCACAGTGGTCCCTCCAATTGTCAGTGCAAGGAGAACCACTGATCTGAAGACACCAACACAAGCACCAGGTATGATTGTCTCTGTTCCTGGACCATAGCACAGGCACTTAGTTTTAAACTGATTGCCTCCTGAAGGAAGGAAGAGTAATCAAGTAGAGAACACACATACACACACACACACACACACACACACACACACACACGCCCACACCTGTGGCTACTGCAGGATATTGACATCTTCAATGGAAATAAGAGTACCACCACTTAAATGTACTGTTTGCAAATCTAGTTTCTGTCATCAAGCAGATGGATGACATAAATGAACACTAACTTGAGTCTGACTTTTTTCAATTTTATACTTAATAAATCAGTTACTGGTATAAACACAGAGTGGGGAAAAAGCAGCGTTTCAGTTTTATTAACATTAAGTTAAACACTGCAAATAATCCTAATTCCTAATATTAGAGAATGAAAGGAAACACCTTCATGTTTTCAGTTCTCCAGGATTTGGCTTTGAAGATTGACATTCTTTTTATTTCTAACTTTGTAATAACTAAGCAGAATAATTATTGCTTTGTCTTCTCTGCAATTTTTTACTTTTAGTTCACTTCCAGCCTGACTCCTGGAGAAAAGGATTCACCACATTGCCGCAACATTCACAAAACTCCTCCATCATTAACCCTGTCCAGTCATTCATCTCGAGCCAACTCAGCTTGGTCAGTCCCTTCCAGAACAGCTCCACGTCCTCGCCTGTTTCGCTGACAGTCTCCCCCTCGCTGAAAACCCCCAGCTTCCTGGGACAGAGTGGGACCTATTCATTCAGGATCTGCCCTCCAACCAACCAGAGCACGGGGGCCCAGAACCTACCAGGAGTTGCCTTGCCTGGGGGCTTCACTCTCATTCAACTCCCAAAACCTGGAGCTGATGGAGCTGCACAACGACCAGAAACTGTGAACACCTCAGACATAGCTGCTGTGGATAAAGCCCCGCCACAAAGAGATGCTTTGTTTAATTTTGGCCACTTAGCTGCTAATTTGGATGCTAATTGGCTTGGTGAGGACACTCTTAATGAAGGTAAAGACCTGTCCAACAGCATATCAGTGGAGCCTGGCCACTCGTCTGAGCTGATATGTGATGAGAAGATGCCTTCAGATGAGAGTGATGAAGCCAACAGTAGGCAGGTGGAGTCAAACCTGGATATCGCTTCAGAGGACTTAAGCTCTGACTCATCAGACTACTGTGGTGACGAAGATGTAAGTTTAAGGAATAAACAATTATTTTGTTTTTCTTTTCAATTGAATATTTGTATAAATAAAATGTGTGAATGATATTGCATAAACAATAACTCTGCATATCTGATCCTGTGGTCGTTATAATTGTAGTCATTGTTATAGCTTTAAAACTGCACTCTGAATGTTGTTTTCTTCAGGAGGAGCCAGTGGATATCGAGACTGTGGAGGAAGCAAGACAAGAAATGGCAATTGCTAAAATGAGGGAAGCTGTTAGGAAAACATTACAGGAGTCACGGTAATACATGTGTGTGTGCTTGTGAATGAAAGGATGTATAATGATGTGAATTGTATGGAAGAAATAAAGTTTGAATGTGTCTCTGAAGTTTTGTATGTGTTGTTCTCTTCTCTCCCTTCAGAGATTCCAGTGATGATTTTGGATCCGCGAGGGACCTCAGGATCCAGGTACAGCAACCCTCCATTTTTAAAATTACTTTGGCAGAGCCAATATTGACATCATATTTAATCATTTTATCTCACTAAACTTGGAAAGGTTCATTGGGTTTATGTTATAAAATGTGTGTTTTAAAGTAAAGGACAATGTCTGTGTTGAATGTGTTGCTTATCACCTCCACTGTATCTCCATACCAGGATCAAATGGACAACGAAGAAGGTGACGCCAAGGACAAAAAGAGGCGAAAGAACCACACAGTGCTAGAACGGCAAAGACGCTCTGAACAGCGGGACCTCTTCGACAAACTCCAGACTGTCCTCCGGAGTGACCCCAGGGCCCCCAGGCTCCGCCTCCTCTCACTGGTCAGTCCCACATCATCCTCAGACAGTTGTACTTTTTACATTATGGTCGGCAACAATATGCTAGAAAACTTGTTTTTCCTACTTGGAAAAGCAGGAAGAGAAATTATATTTTATCTTAGCTGTATATCCCTATGAGTCTCAAAATATGTGCAGTGCTGTAAGCAGCTTTAGAAGTTGGCCACTGAAGTCATTATAATAGAGTGGGTAGGTACTTTAAGGCTCTTGAAAATTCAAATGTTAGTTAATGTTTTTTTTCTGTAACATTAAATATTCATGACTGAAGGAGGAACAATCAAATTTTAAGTTTACAAAAACATTGTTTATTACATATTATTTATTAATTCCAATTGTTTAATGATTAAGTTTAACAAATCTCAGGTAACCTGCTTCATCAGGACTGTGTGGGTGAGGTCTGATCAGATGTGATTAGCAGTGGTCTACCAACATGAGCAAACAACCCTACATCTGTCATATTTTAATTCAAATATTGCAAACGTCACCTGTTTCCCATTAATCCCCTCACACTTCAAACCACTAAGAAGAGCACAGACAAAACAAAATTTTCTGAAAATCCGTCATCTGAAATCACCAAAACTGTTGCAGCTCATCAGTCAGAGGAATTGCCTTGTAAAGACTACAGGTTTCCAGGGACTTAATTATGACGGATAATTATGAATAATTATGACTGTTGTGATCAGTGCCAGAGAATTGAATTTGTGCTGTTGCAAGTTCATTTACATGCAAACCTTTGCAAAATAGTTGTTCAGTAAATCTCAGAACTTTTTAGTTTTATTTACCACTTCTAGTTTTAGTTGTGCTCTACATGCAAACGTGAAGTGCCGTCCAAATTACTTAAATCCTTCACACACAAACACTAACTCTTGATTTAATGTTTACAGAAGTGAAAAATTGCCAGTCATTTTTCAATCAATCTGTAAAAACAGTTTTTGCAGTAGTTGCTGTGATTGGCAATGGAAACAGTTTTACATGAAGCCCTCCAGTGTTCACATGAAGTTTGTGATTCAATGCAGAAAGATGGATAATTATTCACCACAAAGTTGTCGCATTACAGATAATTGTATTTGTAATGTAGATCAAACAAACTGTCTTACAAATAAACTGTTTGCCCACTTTCAGTATTTATACCAGATCAACATTGACCAGATAATCCATTCACAGCTGTGTGTCACCATCTTTTGTGGGTTTTCCTTGTGCTTGCAGGCTCTAAAGGAAATCCAAAACCTGGTTGAGACCTCCAGATGTCTGGAGGAGAAGAAGAGGAAGCTGACTGAGATGCAGTCTGTCTATGTGAAGGAGCTTTCTCTTTTGTCTGGTATGAACAGTTTCTGTTGCTGCATGTCGAGCTTTTGGATTGAATAAATAAAATGCAGCTTCTCATGTCTTGATTAACAGAATAAGTGACGTGTGTGCACAGTGTATGAAGCTGCCTTCACTGAAACTTGTTCTGTGTGAAATGTGACCTTTTTAGGAAAGTCTGAGAACCTGATTAAAAACAAGCTGAAGGATATCTGCCAGAGGCAGAAAATGAGAGAGAAGACAATGAAATGGAGGCCTATCTTTTCCCATCTACTCCAGTCCAGAGCGGCTCTCCTACAAGCCAAAAATCCCCAGTCCATGTCAAAGCCCATGCCCCTGTTACAGCCTGACTTCCTAATGGCTTCATCTGCAGCCCAAAACAATGTACACCAGGTGATGTCTCTGCTTCAGCCTAATGTACACAGGGCTCAATCCAGTGCACAGGCGCCCGTGCCCCTTCCCACCCACACGTCCAAGTTTGAGGACCAGCAGGAAGCGACTGGAGCTCCAGCCCAGGACACCCAGTCTCAGGTCCCAACAGTTCCAGCTTCCCCTCAGGTCACAGCAGCTCAGGATGGAACCTCACCCGTGTCCTCAACACCCAATTCCCAAAACCCCTCTGCTCCCCCTCCACAGCCATTTACTCTTCCTCTGATTCGCTCGAAGACCGGCAGACTCATACTTCCCTCATCTCTGAAACCACGTAAGTTGAGTACTCACCACACCCTCATTTTAATTCCTTCAATTTAAATTTGTTATTATAATATTAATTACATATTTTTTTATCTTCTCACAGTTGGTCAAGGCTTCTACACACTCATGTTTATGGAAGCCAAGCAGAAGGGAGAAAAGGGAGAGGTTAGCACTTCAGCTAACATGCAGCGTTGTGACGTGGCCTCCAAGAACCAGGATAACAGCTTTTCTGCATCTGACCACCCCTCCGACTCAGAAAGCAGCCGTATTTTGGAGGAGGACAAAACTACACCTTCAAATTCTGATCCAAAGCGTTCACATACAACAGCCCCCCTGTCCGGGCCTGCCTTCATTAACAAATCAAACCATCGGCCTTCAGCTGATGTAGAGAACAGACAGGAGGGGGGCACGGTCGCAGGTTTGAACAAAGCACAGGCGGCTGCCTGCTTGAGTTTTAACCGTGTGGGTCAGGTTCCTCCTTCAGCCAAGGATGAACCAGCTCCTAACCCTCCTGAAGTCCGGCGCCGCAGGGGCAGGCCTCGAAAGAACCCTCTTCCCCCTGTTAGTGAAAACGAAAAACGTACTGTGGTAGAAGAGACCAGGAAAAGTGTCAGTGTAAGTGAAGCAGTTATTCTGGTTGAAAAGAGAAAAAGTGAAAAAAAATCTTTGGATGTGACCGAGACACGAGCTGAGGACACCCCAGTAATGGTCAGTGGCGTAGCAGATAACCCTGTTCCCGTGAAACGAGGCAGAGGAAGGCCTCCGAAGAAGAGCAGGGCTCACTCGTGGCGGCCGGTTTTACGAGAAGAAAGCAGTCCGTCTAAATCCAACGAGGACAGTCCTGTCAGACCCTTGTGCCATTTTAAAAGCCGTGATATGAAACCTAACGCAGACCCCGCAGCATCCGCCTTGCCTGGAAATATAAAAACATCTCGGCCATTAACGCGAGGAGCTTTGGGAAAGGACTTCCCCAGTGCCAAGAAACGCTCCTGGATTGATATAGAAAAGGAACTGGAACCAGAGCTTGAATATGAATAGTTCTCATATCTTCCCGTCGCTACAAAAGCCAATGCACACGGATGTTTAACCTCAGTTAGTCTCACACTGAAACCTCACACCTCTCTGAGGCAGCTGTATTTCTCCCAGCATCATCCACCCAGTCTTACTTATCTAGAGGAGTTTCTCTATCCTGCTCTCTGTTTATTTGTGTGAACAAGTTACATAGGTCATTGATAGCCTCGCCAAATGTGCCTGTGTGTAAATCCAAAGGACCAGAGAGACCGTTAAACACTTGAAGCTGCTCTTTTCTGTATGTTAGCACACAACTCAGTGGACTTCTTTCATACTATAGAGACAGGCTGTTTTCTGCTATGAAGATATAAGAGAAAGCATTAAGTGACCTGCTGAATGTATGAATAGAATTTATGCTAACTCCCACAATCATTTTTGGTGTTTTCTTCTATGAATGTCACCTACATTCATGTTTATTTCTTGTCAGAAGCATGATATTAAGATTTATTCAAATTATGTTGAAGTCATTTATTACTAATCTGTTTTATGCAAATAAAAATAAAATTGTACAGATTACATTAATTGAATATGTTAAGCCTTACAGTGTAAGTTAAATATCTGTATCCTGAATAGGATCAGACATCACACTGCATCATTAACTCTATAAAGTGTAAAAGTCAACATTTGTCCTTCCCATTTTTATTAAGAGCTAGCTTGGTGAATATTTCCTCTTTTAGATTGTTTTTTTTTTGTCACTAACTCAGTGAAAAACATCTACAGTAGCACTTTATGTTTTGTTTTAGTATGTGTTTGTATAGTGAGAGTAATGATCTGTAATTTGGGGAATTAGTTCAATAATATGCATAAGCCTGATGTGTCACAAGCAATCAAGATAAAAGCTGTTAGCCATGTATTATATCTATAAAAAATAACCTGTAAATATTGTATTCCTTTTTTAATTGCAATATATTTTTCTCATGGATGATTTTTGAAACACTGGTTGTCCTCTTACTTCAGTCAAGTTGAAAATGTGAAAAATCATGTGGCCTTTGAAACCAATAAAATCTACAAGCATTTATCACAGCACGGGTCAGTCAGCTAAAACCAGAGGCTTTTCATGTTCTTGAGACAGCCTTTGGCTTTTTTTTATGTAAATGAAAATCAAACACCATCTCTCAGGAAGAAACATCACTGGTACCATGAAGAGAAATCACATGTTCATCTAAAAAAAAAAAAAACTGAATTTATCTTGTTTTGACACAATTGGCTTCTGTATTTTTCTACTTACACTTCATACAGATTTTACACTAATCTCATCTTGAGTAATGGCTGTAAAATGGGTAACAATTAAAGCCTTTTGTGTGACCAGAACACACTCAGTTACACTCAATAGACCGTATCAGTATAGCCCATTGTACTGAGGTTATCTTGTCCTGACTGACAGCAGCTGAATCCTCTGATGGACTACTTAACGTTTACACATTTAAAGCATTTCCCTACGTGGAAATGAGTGTAAATTTTTGCTCATCTGAAAGGAAGGAAAGGTCGAGTGAAAAATGCTATGAAGGGTCAGGACTTCATGCACTGTTAACCTTTGTTTAAACATGGAGATTGAACCGTTTCATTTGTGAAGAAACTCATTTACTTGACAGTTTTTAAGTCACAGTACTGCACACATCTACTTTGTATCACACCATCTTGATACCTGGAACCTTTGACCATCACATTTAGTTGCTGCCATTAGAAAAGTTGAACACACAGGGAGGCAGACACTTGATGAAGGTCTGATGTCAGAGCATCTGAAATGAATTCAAAGCGATGTGAGTGCATCAGCTCGTGTACGGTCTGGGTGAAGAGCGTCACAGATATATAATGAACTCAACCACAATGATGTCTTAAGTGTCCTTTCAATGTCATGTTATTTGAGCACAGCTAAGGTTTTCCTGCTAATGGCTACTCTCATGATCTTTCTCTTCATTAAAATGAATGAGTATAATATTAAATAAACCCCTGCCTCTAAAATGACACACACTGGAATCACTTTGACAAAAAGTCACAACAAAAATTGAGCATTTTTTTTTTTTTTTACAGCAGTGGAAATAAGTGCAGAGCTGGATTCAGTCAAATTAGATTTAGCCTGGTGTAGATTGACTCATTTGATGTTACAAATTAACAGACGTTTGAAATCTTACCAGAACACGTCTTATCATGGAGCATGATTGCGATTGGCTTGGTGTCACCACAGGGGGCGTGGTCTGTTTAGACATGAAGGCTAGTCAAGATCATGCACATGGTCATTTCACTGCAAACAAATCTCAAACATGGCCCTCAATATTTGAATAACGTTACAACCGGTTACGACCTGACTTTTAGATGATAATGAAGTCACCGAGCCACTTAATACGGTATAATTGTTGGCTGCTTGCAAATTAATTAGGATTTAATGGGTCTGTCTGTCTTTATTGCATGCAAATTGGATTAAGTGCCTTGTTTACTGAGCACTTTTATTGTGTTAGAGGCTTATTTTAAAGTTGATGTATACATTCAGCAGCGACATAACATTACATCACAGCCACTAGTTTGCATTATAGACTGAATAGTGGACCAGTAGATATCACCTGATTTTAGGATTCATTAGCCAAGTCAATACAAACATCAACAGGTCAAGTATATACATAAATACATTTGAAATTGAGAATATAAACAGAAAAAATAGAAAAGAAAACAGACAATTATTCACTTGAGCAAATATGCAAATAAAAGATGAGTAAACTGTTATCGTTCAATCAGCAGAAAAACAAGGAGCCGTGGTTCCCCAACATCCGCCATTCAGAGCTGAGCCTGCCCACGGCCTCTGTGTGTAATCCTATTAAATCAGTTAGGTACAACAGCAACAAAAGCAATCATTGATGTAATCATGAGACCGGTGCAGGTCTCAGATTAGACCAGTGATGTCATGTCAGGCAAACAGCTGAGCAGCGCCTTTCTTTCCTTGTTATTCTTTAAAAAAAAAAAAAACGTAGCGTTGAGACAAGGCGACATCAGTCCAGAAGTGCAGAGACGCTGCAGGAGCGGTGCCCGATGTGAAGCGACAGAGGAGCAGAGTCAACCCACTCAGAGGATTAGTGTCCACATGTCCCGGCAGCAGCAACACTGTCCGACTTGGTAAAGCTCCTCAGCTTGTCTCTGGTAGAGGTTTGGTGCTGGTGGGTGGGTCAGTTACAGGCGCTCGCTCATTCACTCCCTCAGCCTGCATGCGCGCTTCGGCTGGTGGCTTGTCACAGTGGACTGTCAGCAGGGGGCTGCTAACAAGATGCCAGGCGATGGGTTCACCATTAAAAGTCGCATCAGGAATTTGCTGCGTTCTCCCTCAACCAAGCACAAGAGGAGCAGGAGAGAAAATCTCACCAGCAAGGTATGTTCCCATAGACCCCTCTTTAAAAGTGCAATAGATTTAGTTTCTGACGGAAACAACTTGTCATGATAAAGAGAAGCAGCCTGGGGCGATCTGATAATGCTGCAGACTTCTCTTTTATTTGTAGTGTTAAATCCACAACAGAGATTTGGCATGATATTACATATAGAAAATGCCAGGGACAACGGTATATCTAAACAACTTCACTTAAAATTGCTGCTGTTGAAAAGGTAGCTCACCGCTTTAAACTTTTTTTTTTTAAAACTAATTATTGGTTAATAAATCATTTACTAATGCGTTATACTATATAACCGTAAGACTTTAACCAGAATAACTTTTGTGTGGCCAGTTTGTGAAAAAAAATGGTTGAACTGTTTGGACTGGAAATCCATTTATTAATAGCTTTATTAAGCATTTGTTAATAACAATTATACCTGCAGTGATACCAAACAGAAAATATAAACAGTAGCAAAGGGGATTGTTCACAACCTGGCAACCCAATGTAATGGCTTATAAGTGATCTATTATGAGGTAAATCATATAAAGTAAAAGATTTATTAATCGCTAATAAACCCATCGGTTATGACTAATAACCCTCTGTGGTACAGAGTAAAAAATATAACTTTATTACATGAGATCACAGCTCAGTGTGGTTTTTATTGTTTTCTATCATCATCATATATGTGTTAGTAGGACACCACAGACTCAGGTACATTCATATGTTACTCCAGACTAGACAATGACACTAATAGCTGCTTTATAAATCCCAAGACAGACAGACAGCAAGGCTTGCCAAGCCAGCTGTCACATCTTCTGTTTAACTGCAAAGTTCAACCTGATCTCTTTCATCTAATTTTACATCAGTCTATATTTTTACATCTGTGAAGTACACAAAAGAGAAATGACGGTAAGATTTATAACATATTTTAGTTTGAAGCCTGCTGCTGCATGTGAATCGTAGCTGTGCAAGATGCGTACTACTGCAAAATAAGATGGCATTGAACAGATCCGAAGTTTCTGTGTTTTTTGTATCGTGACGGGAAAGCAGGTGTTTTGAGACACACCGACTTTACGTTGTTTGATTTAAAGAGGACACATTTAGCCAGCCGTCTTCACACGTTGTTACCACACAGCAACAATCTATTTCTGTCTTTGATTCATTGACGGTGCGTAGTTACATCACTGCTGGGCTAAGTTGTTTATATATCTTCTCTCTCTTCTCACTGTGATGAAATCCTGCAAAAAGAAAAGTAGTAAATGGTTGAGCCCAGGTGCATCCCTGCTTTGTGTCTCTACAGGTGACTTTGGAGAAGGTTCTGGGCATCACTGCCTCAGGAAACAGTGGTCTGACCTGTGACCCCCGATCCGGACTCGTGGCCTACCCTGCAGGGTAAGAAGAGAGAGAGATCATCATTATCTAAACATCTGACCTTTGACTTATCAACACTCTGTGCATGCGCAGCTCCCTTATCATATCTACCTCACACAGACAGTTAGTGTGCAAATTTCTGTGTGTGTGTAATCTCTGTGCTATCTCAGAGGAACTGAGGAGGAGAGCTCAGTGGGCTCTCTCATCAGAGAAACTCCGAAGCTTTTTATTATCCTGTCCTCAGGGAGGCTTCCTTTGACTTTCTCAGTGATACACTGATGTAAAGAGCACTGTGTAGTATTATTATTTCTGTGCAAACACTGAGACTGGCTTTGTTAACTTGCTCAGTGCAGAATAAAAAGGAAAAAAAGAAAAGAAAGAGAGACGTGTAGAGCTGCAGGTTGGAGGATTTACTGTAGATCTACAGTGGCGATGCTTGGGGCCCTCGGAGCTGCTGCAGAGTTTAAAAACAAGCACAGTGGGTCTCGCGAGGCTGTAACAGAAACTGTGCTCTGAGCCTCTATTGTGTTGCTCTCAAATCTTCTGACAAAGCTGTATTAATACTAAGAAGGTCAATGTCTGAAAACTAGAGGAAAAATTGAGTTGTTTACATTATTGCTGTGTCAAGGAGGGTGTGTTTGTGACTGTCTGTCAGAAAGAGAGAAAAGCAACATCTGTGCATGCAGGCATGGGCACTTATACATGTGTCTGTATCTGGTTCTGATTGTGATTTTAGCAAGCCTTGTACTACCCAAATAACAAACAGTCTGGTAATCCACTTGCAGCCTCAGTTTAAATCTGTCCAATCTGTGGTACCAGGAATGCAGTTTCCTGGCCCGGAGCTAAAGAACCAGTTTAGCGACAGGTGGATCGTTGTTGTGCCGCTCTTGAACAGGATGTAGAGGAAGTTTTATGAACAGGAAACAATGTAGTTATTTGGATATGGAAAAAGGACAATTACACAAAAAGTGCACGGAAATAATATAAATGGTGCATAAATAATATAAACACTTCATGAAGCAGGACAGGACTTTTACTTTGAAACATTCAAAGCACAAACACTGATACAAAAGTAGGTAATGTTACATTAGAGTTGACTGACACCACTCTCATGTCTGTCTGTACATCTGAAGCTACCGCCACTAGCTAGTTAGCTTAGCATAAAGACTGGAAACGGAGGGGAAACTTGTTTCTGATCAAAAGTTGCTCTATAAAAACTCACAGACTGACGTGTTGTATCTCCTTTGTTTAACTGTGTGGCGTTGAGAGTGGAAGCAAACAGTTGTCAAATGTCAGACTATTCCTTTAAGATATGAAATAGTTTTACTATTCTAATTAATGAGCCTTGTTTTTGAAGCTGTTATCTCATGCTGCTTTACTTTTGAGTTAAAAAATGCTTCTACTTGGAATTCAAAATTGTACGACCCACCTGTGTCTGTGTATTACAGTGTCTGTAATATTGATTAACTTTATGTTTAATGAATGTATTATGAAATGTATCCCCAGAAGAGTGAATGCATGAATGAGTGCAGTGTTATTGAATTTCAAACGTTAATCCTGGAAAATACTTCAACAGGTCACAGAGTAAAGTTTAATTACAGATGAACAACTTAGGCTTACTTCTGTACATATTAGCACAGTAATGTGTTACATCAGAGTTTGAATGTTTTTAAGGTCATAGTATATAATCAGTAAGCATTGGTGCGATAAGCCATGCCACAAGTATTCACTGTGAAATGAGTGCTCACTTATTCTTTTGTTACCTTGAAAAATGTGTTTTCCAGTCAGCCGTGGACGTGTTTACATTTCTTGTAAACACCTTGACTAAATAAACACAAAAACCCTTGAAAGTCAGCAAATTGAAATTTTCCACTTGCACCAAATCTTACCTCGGTGCAAGGAACCTACACTGGACACTTTCAAGGCTTGTTCCAAGTCAAATATTTATGTGGATTATTATATTGTTTTTCTCCGTCCTTGATGTAGCTGTGTGGTCGTCTTGCTGAACCCCAAAAAGAACAGACAGCACCACATTATCAACACCTCGAGGTGAGTCCTACACAAATATAGCCTGCATTGAAACAGAGCAACATGAAAGTCACAGAACTCCCAGAGTCACACTGAGCTGTCTGTCTCTGTCTCTGTCACTTTCACAGAAAGACCATCACAGCTCTGTCCTTCTCCCCTGACGGCAAGTACTTGGTCACAGGAGAGGTGAGTCTTCTTACTTGTCAATCAGCCGTCTTCTTCTTTGGCTCTGCTGAACACTTTGCCTCATTTCTCTTTGCTTCTCACTGACTTCCATTCTTTTATTTTTGCCTTCACCAGGTTGATATTACTGTGTGTTTACAACAGATCAGATGTTTCCTGCAGTTTAGCATTCATCCACAATATGACATTTAGTTAATGGTGATAATGTGTCCAGTGTTTATATCTTCACAGTTTAGTAATTTAGTTGAGTAATGTGTCCTGTCAGTGAAGCGTCACAGTGTTGTAGTTACAGCATGTGCCTCAACACAACAAGCTATCTTAATCCGCCCCCACCGCCCTCCCCCAGCCAATCAAAGCCGATGAAAGACTTCTCTGTGTAAGTGGATGAGCACGCAGTAGTTGCCATGACGGCAGAGACCAAAGTTCAAAAGACCAAATACACCGAGGACAGGCTGCTCTGCTGCCATTTAAAAGACACCAAAATGCCAAATTCTTGTAGACTCCCACCATGAGTGAGCACATGAGCCGTGAGAGCACAGCTGATTTCATATTAAACTATTAGATGTGCACATTTACTGTCAATTTTCCAATGCAAATGTTGATATTATACTCATCTACCAGAGTTATTGTGGTTCTCTTCCCAGCTGCTGCGAGTCTGTGATCAAAGCGGAGAGCGTCACAGCTCTGTTAGAGGATTTCCTGTAAGCCTTGAAAGAGGAGAAGAGTTTAAGATATTCCTGAGTGAATGATCTGATAAGAAACCAAACAGTGGATCATTTACATAAAGGACAGACGGAGAGCAGACGCGTGTACCTTTTTCTTTCATCTTCCCTCTGTCTGTCTCTTTTGGATGCAGCTCTGTCGTCAGGAGAATGTCATCCATTCTCAGCGTCCTTCATGCTGCCTTTCAGGTGAGAGGAAAGGCAGCATGAAGGACGCTGAGAATGGATGACACTGACCCTGACCTTTGAAAGGGTCGTTCTACCATATTAAAAGAAGAGACTACACAAATAGCCTGCTGACCTTTTGATCCCTGAGAGGAGAATAATGCGAGCAGGTCGAGGTACAAGTAACATGTACACAGCGAGCAGAGGTCAGAGGACGGAGAGGATAATCTCTTAGAGAGCTGAATAGACTGGAGAGACAGGTGACTGCTGTTTGTAGCCTGATCCAGTGGATTTGATGAATGGAGACAAAAACATGAGCCATTTCTTTAATAACTATTAACTCTCACTTGCTCCTCGTCCACATCCCTCTGTCCTTTTCACCAGAGCGGTCACCTGCCAGCGGTGAGACTGTGGGACGTGGCCGAACGGAGACAGGTGGCGGAGCTCCAGAAGCACAAGTATGGCGTCTCGTGTGTGGCTTTCTCCCCCAACGGCAAATACATCGTCAGTGTGGGAAACCAATATGACATGTTGGTCAACGTCTGGGCGTGGAAGGTACTTCACAATCTGGAGTTTTAGCCCGCAGCCAGCTCCCCTTAAGGCTTTAAGTTTGACGTGTGTTGTTGATTTGTTCTCCTGCAGAAAGACGTTGTTGTAGCAGCCAACAAGGTGTCCAGTAAGGTGACGGGCGTGTCTTTCTCTGAGGACAGCTCCTACTTTGTAACTGTGGGGAACAGACATGTCAAGTTCTGGTATCTGGATCACTGCAAGGCCAGCAAGGTACTGAAATAACATATCCCTATATTTTTTTATAACCACTGAATCGGAGAAATGTCTCCCTTTGGGCTACATCATTCTGGTCTGGTTTTCTCTGTCCGTAAAGAGAGAGTTACGGTTTTTCTTCTGCCTTCTGAAGAATCCTTTTTTCTGCCAAACATTTTTTTTTCACATTGTAAAAAAAGTTTCATTGCCTTGGAAATTATCCAAGCTGGAAAAAACATCCTAGTAAACTGGGAGTCTGGTTTTGGCTTCCTCTTTCATTGCTATTTCATTGTTCCACAGCTGTTCTTCACAATTGTCTTCACAACTTCACTAATGTTTAGTTCATATCTCTGACACTCAAATAAAGAAATAGAAGATAATTTAATAATACAAAGTGAAAATTTAATTACACACATCTACTACATACTCAAACAGCCCAGATGTGGATGCAGATGTGGACATACAGAGAAAGTGTGAATATAACCTTTATCCTGCTTTAACCACCACAGCATGAGCTTCATCAGCTCACCTTCATCCCTCTTTTTCTTAGGCCAGTGCTCCTGTCCCTCTGCTGGGCCGCTCGGGGCTGCTGGGGGAGCTGAGGAACAACTTTTTCTGTGATGTTGCCTGTGGGCGGGGCCCTAAATCTGACTCCACCTTCTGCATCACCTCCTCTGGCCTGCTGTGTGAGTTTAACAGCAAGAGGATGCTGGACAAATGGGTGGACCTACGGGTGAGTGACAGGGATGATGTAGCCAACAGCAACAAAGGGTTAGTTTGTGTGGTTTAGTTAAGGACTACACCCCTATCAAAGAGATGGAGTGATATTGATTGGGCTGTGTCACTCCGTCCATTAACTAAACATTATCTTATCTGATACACAACACAGGTCTGATTGTGACGAATCAGCGTGTTTCATGTGTGTATGTGTGCGTGCGTGTGTGTGTGTGTGTGTGTGTGTGTGTGTTTAAAACAATCCTTTACTATTCCTTTACAATTTATGAACACTGATGAGTGAGGTTTAAAAACATCAGCTGCTTAAAACGCTGCTGGTTTTCATCAAACATGCATTGTGCTCGTTATTGATTCAGTAGGTGTCTACATCTTTAATTTCACTCGTCTAATTTAGCTTCACCAGTATTAAATCTACGGTATATTTATGCATCTGACTGCTGTACAGTAGCAGTAATAATTATAATAATAATGCTGCTGTACAATGAAGCACTGCTCATGGTCAGTGTCCAGCTGTGGTGTTTAATCAAGAGGTGCAGATGAAGGTGTGTGGCTCTTCTCCTGCCTTCTGTCAGTGGATCAAAGAGAGATTAGCAGCAGGGACAAGTACAGGATGTGTTGCCCTGTAACCTTCATTATCACAGACTGGCACGGCTCACATGGACTCACCTAGACTTTTTTTAGGCTTCAATGAATGAGAATAGGTTTCACGTGGAATACAGATATTGTCCTGAAACTGTCATTTATTATTCCGCTACTGATTTTTATTTTAGGTCTCAGTGAACCATGTTGTTGTTTAACATATATTATAAAGGACAGATTTCCTTGCTCCACAGGGGATTTTTTTGAAATTACGGAACTATGAAATGAGCTGATGTGCCTGTTATATCGTGCGCTGCCCTGTAGACGAGCGTGGCCCAGTCTCTGTCTCTGTCTGAGGATATGATCTTCTGTGGCTGCGCTGATGGAACGGTGCGAGCCTTCAGTCCCGTTGACCTGCACTTTGTCTGCACGCTGCCGCGGCCGCACCCCCTCGGCACTGACGTCACAGCTGTTACCGAGGCCAGGTGAGGAAGAGCTCAGGAGTAACACAGCCTTTCCTTGGCACTGATCCACTGCAGGATCAAATAATCTCTATTTATAGTCTGAAGCACTCTTCAGCGTTGTTCTGCTGTTATTCCATGGTCTTTTAAACATGTACTCCACCCTCTCTCCCGTCAGCCACCTATTTTCCACCAAGACAGATGTCCGTTACCCAGCTGCCATTGCTGTTACCTATGATCCCATCAGCCACTGGCTCAGCTGTGTGTATAACGACCACAGTCTGTATGTGTGGGATGTGAGAGATGTCAGCAGGGTGGGGAAGGTGCACTCTGCCCTCTTCCACGCTGCTTGTGTCTGGGACCTGGAGGTAAACAGGCAGGAGGAAGTGAACGACATAGTTCTTTAGCAAATGTGACACGTGCCGTGTGTTTCAAACCAACCACTGACTCAGTTGTTTGGATGTTGGCCATTGATTAGATTACTGATGGAGCACATTGGAGGATTGATCAATACCACCCAAATGCCAAAACTGGCGTTTCATTATCCTGCTGAACTCTGGACCAGTTTGAGACACACTAATGTATATTTTTTATTGTATTTTGTTATTAGTTATTACATTGAATAAGTTAGAATTAAATATCATACTCTTACTCATGTGTCAGAATTCATATGATAGTTTTAGCTTGCTAATAATAGGCAATAAAAGGCAATGCATCCGTTATAGTAAACCTGCATTACTACAGTTTATAAGAATGCTCCATTGTGAATGTAAATGTATATCAAAGCTTCAAAGAAATCTATAAATCTACAAACTGTTGTGCCTCCTGGACTCCTAGTTCCTACCCACCCATCTTCTCTCTCGTCCTTCCTCAGGTGTTCCCAGATGTTCCTGGGGAACTGGGTGCTGGTTTGTCATCAGGCGTGTTCCTTAGCTGCTCAGCTGATAACACCATCAGACTGTGGCGCATGGATGACTGGTCTCAAACTCGAGTTCATTTTCAGAACATCCTCTGCAGTGTGAGTTTTGCATCAATATCTGTGTGTCCTCACATCGCACAGAAGCAAATGCTGATATTTCTTAAGTGCATAGTCTCCCTATGGTGAGTTGTTTCTCTGTCCATCATTGCTTTGCAGGATCTCTTGAATATAATCTACATAGATGGAAACACCGCTACATTACTGGATCCGGAATGTATGGCAAATGTGAATGCAGATAAATCCGGGGACGGACAGACAACAGAAAGCAGGGCGGGCATCAGGACCATCTGTGTCAGTCCTGACGGCAAACACCTGGCATCTGGAGACCGCAACGGGATGCTGAGGTGGGACACAAAGGCTCAAATTTAGACAGCAGATTATTCAGAGAGTTTGATTAATTGGACTGCAGATATTACTGCCAATTCACTTTCAAAAATATCTTAACTGTTCTTCACCTCCATCCCTTAAATAATGTGTGCACGTCTGTTCTCCAGGGTTCATGACCTCAGCAGCATGGAGGAGATTCTGAAAGTGGAGGCCCACGATGCTGAGATACTCTGTCTCGAATACAGTGATCCAGGAACAGGTCTGTGTGTATACAGTGTGGCTACGGCGATGACACACGCTTGTAGAGTATTTGTGTTTTGGCTGCGTGTACGATATTTGCTTAAAATCATCTTATAACTGTCAGGCCTGAAGCTGCTGGCTACAGCGAGCAGGGACCGTCTGATCCATGTGTTGGATGCTGAGGATGACTACAGTCTGGTACAGACACTCGACGAACACTCTTCATCCATAACAGCCGTCCGCTTTGCTGGTGAGCCACTTGAGACACTGTCAACATCTGACAGCTAATCTTTTCTTAATCCTCGCTTTCATCTCCACTCAGTCCCACACAAAGTCCCTCTTTTATTTCGCTTGCAGTGCTGCTTGTTTAAATAATAGATGACAACTATACATGTGTAGTCAGGTGGAGCTTTGTTTGTTGTGAGGAAAGCCTTTTTTGTAAACACACTTTTTAAAAAAGTTTTGCACTTTGTAACATACTTGCATCAGTTACCGCCTCTGATTTTGAATTTGGATCAATTCAGACTCTGATTTTTGAAGCTACACTCTTGTAACTAATGTCATTTTCCTTGGACTGTAAATTTGGAAAATACTAGTAATAGCAGTCTGATGAAGGATAGCAGGATTTCTGTGATTCCTACAGGCACAACACAGAGAAGTTCCTCCTGTAACAAATCTCTTTGTTCCTCAGCCAATGACAACAAAGTGAGGATGATCAGCTGTGGGGCAGACAAGAGCATCTATTTCCGCACCGCACACAAGGTGAGGCACGTCTGAGCAAGGTTCAGTTTGTCCCCACCTTTCAACAGACACGTATCTTGTCCCACAGGTGGAATCTGTTGTAAAATATCCAAGACACACACAATACACTCAAAAACATTAACGCTTAAACTAAAAATCACCTGTAATATAGCTAAACTAAAACTACTGCACATACTGTATACTAAATATTATGCTAAACTTTTAAAAATACAGTTTATTTTCCAATGTTTTATAAAAGCAATAACCAATGATCACAGTAAAATTCCTTGTTTCCCATGACTTCCTGTTTAATTTTAATACAAAGGGACACTATTACATGACAAACCAGATTTCTTTAAAAAACCCGTCCTGGCCATATAAGACACAGAGAGGAGCTGTTTTTTGCTTCAGCATTCAGCAGCTGATTCTTTCCTTTTGATTAAAAATTCTTCATTTATTCCTCCCATCAACGACTCACTCTGCAGCTCGACAGTAATACAATCTATTTAGCTTCTGTTTGTGAATACAGCTCTACAGCATGTACTACAAAAGGAGAATTTGCAGTACAAGTTGTATAACCAAAGCAATAAAGGAGACATGGTGCTGCATTCTTTCCTCTAGATTTGCTTCTGGGTTACTGGGCCAGTTTTCTGTTTGGTCAGACTTGCATAAGTCATTCTTCTTAAACTTAAGACACGATTCAGGCCACTGCAGTGACTCACAACATCAAGTTTTGTAGAGCACAATAAGCAGCGGCTTGTTAGTCTTGAGCAAAACTTCCCTTCAGCATCCAGACATTTATGGAGTACTCATTTAAGAAACTCGTTGTGACAGGTCTGTGCTCACTGCAAAACATAAATGAGCATCGTCTCTGCTGCTCAGTGTTTTCAAGGATTCCTAATGAACCATAATAATCTTCTTTTCTGACCATGTCTGTGTGATTGGATGCGCAAACACAGATTTTCTATGGCCTAAACATCAAAAGTGATATGACTTATTTTAACTCACACTGCCAAGCACATTGATTCCACCAAACTTTAACTGAGGCAAAATACATGTTCTGTATTTAGTGCATTTTAAAGCAGAACAGCTTTGAGTATATACACCCTCTTTTAAGTCACACATTTATATTTATTCAAACTGATCTCTGCAGCTTTTATATATCTGAATGCAAAGGTCATGTTTGCTTTCTTTGCAAAGAACACAAATGCATACACTTAGCTCTCTATTCTGTTAGACCTGTGTGCTGTGTATAAATACAGTACTTGGAAGCAGAGACATGCAGAGTGTAGAGGTTTGAGTTCAGTGAGGTGGGGTAACTCAACTCCACCTCCACTAAAGCTTCTTGCAGCCAGTTACTCGCTGCACAATCAGGTCAAAGATGGAAGGTTGTTTTAATGTCCCACTTTCCCTCCATTTCATGCTAAAGCCACAGCAGCCTCTCTCCTCTGCACAGACCTGACAGAGTTTCTTTTTGTTTTGCAGACTGACAGAGGAACAGAGTTCAGGCGCTCTCACCACATGGTGAGGAAGACCACGCTGTACGACATGGGTGTGGACCCCACTTGCAAGTACGCTGCCGTCGGCTGCCAAGACCGCTGCATCAGGTGAGTGCGTGGGCGTGTATGTGCGTTTTTGAAGGACGAGGAGGTCAGCAACTGGACATGAACCTTAGAAGAAACAGGTTCTTTTCCTTTGTACTGCAGGATTTTTAACATCAGCAGTGGCAAACAGAAGAAACTCTACAAAGGCTCACTGAGTGAAGATGGAAGTTTGCTCAGGGTAACATTTTTCTGCACCGTCCACACTCCAAAAACCATTCTCCTCCTATATACACAGTTCATAAACACTAAAATGCTTTTGTATTTGGTCTGGCAGGTACAGATCGATCCTTCAGGTCAATACGTGGCCACAAGCTGCTCCAATAAAAACATCAGCATCTTTGACTTCTACACTGGAGAGTGTGTCGCCACAATGTTTGGACACTCTGGTAACAGAAACACACACACACACACCTGCACCTCACACACACATACTTCATGTAACCAAACTGACACCTTTATAGCAGTAGGGAATATGATCTCTAACCAGCCATCGTTCTTGTTTTGCAGAGATTGTCACTGGGATGAAGTTTACCAACGACTGCAAGCATTTGATTTCTGTGTCAGGTGACAGGTGAGAGACAGTATTGTGTGTGTAGTCGCTCTAGAAAATACAGCATTAAACGGATCATTATAATGTCATATTTCTGAAAAGAATGACACTTTTTAGTTATATGTTTAAAACTAGAGCTGTAATAACAGTGAGATATTTAAATACGAATAATGTCAGTGCTACGCCCCCTGTGCTAAAATAAAATTAGGATCAAAACCAGGATGGGAGTAGCGCCCAAATTGAATTCATCTTCAGCCTCTGCTGCAAGAGGAAATGAGTGGAGAAATGTGTTTGCAGACAGTTTCCTCAATAGTCAAGCTGAAATGAAATGCTGAATTTTTAATGCCCGAGTGCTTTTATCTCCTAGCTGTATCTTTGTGTGGCGCCTGGCTCCAGAGCTGACAATCAGCATGAGAGAGAGGCTGTGCCAACTCAGACAAAACCCAAACACGCCACCCTGCAAGACCTCCAGTCTCAGGTGACGACACACACCTCACCTTCAAGAAATTTCATTGATTACATCCTTTCCATAAACTTAGCGCTTGATCAGTATTCATCATTTTCTCCGACTCTCTGATTGTGTTGCTCCAGGCGGGAGGTGTACAGCGCCCCCACCCTGGGTGGTTTGTCCTCGGACAGTGACCATGAGCACGAGGGGGAGGACAGAGCAGAGAACGCCGACCCCAACGACCCCGAAGACAACTCAACCAACACTTCCTCTGACAGCAGCCATGGAGAGGAGGACACAGGTACTGTCTGGCTGCGAACTGAATGAGAATACAAACACTGTGCTGACTGTGATCCACATGCTTATCAAGGGAATTAGAAGGGTCCAGTACTGAGCAGAGGGATGTCTGCTAGCAACCATACTTGTAAGCATCTGACCGACTGCAGTGTCCCTGACCTTTGACCTCTCTGCGGAGTGCAGCAGAATGAAAAATCCAATCCAGGAATAAAATGGTATCTATAATTATTCTTCTTTTTATACAACAGGAGGCTCAGATGAAGGACAGGACTGGGAACTGACAAAGGTATGTGGTTATATTCAATATTATAAGTATAAATGAAATAACAAACATGTGCAGAGCACTGTCCTTACATGAGGAAAAACATCTTTTTCCCAAAAGTAAATTGCACAAATTGAAATTCCAATGTTCATTTCAACAACTTAATGATAAAATAATTGTCTAATAGCAATAAGCAAAGTCTAAATGTATAAATATTAATCATCTGTGTGATGGGAAGGGCAACTTTAGCTTGAATGTGATTGTCCACTGCAGTGGTTTTCTTTGTGTGTGTGTGTGTGTGTGTTCCAGTATATTTAATTGCCATTCCATGTTAATCACATTAATGGGAAGTCAAATTAAACAACTGAAATATAAATAAATAATTAACAGTACTTAATATTCAGTACAAAATTGAAGTATATAGAGTAGACAGCTGATGAGCAGAACATCTCCTGTCTACTGTGTCTCTTAGTTTTCTATCAGTACTTCAGGAGGAGTGAAGTGGCTTAAGGATCTCAGGCTTCACTCCACCACACATGAGATTAAATCCTCTGTGATGAACCGGGGGGAAATGCCCTGCTGAGTCTTAAAAGAAATGCGAAATTCATTCTGAAATATACAGCCAAAGCTAGGGGATTAAAAATCACACAACCTCATTTGAAGGAATATTGACACTGTTAATACTTAGTCAGTCTTAATTTCCAGAGCTGCTGTATGATATTTTTACAGTCATGTCTTTTACGTCTTTTACAATGAGAAATCATGGTTTACTGTCTCATCTCATTTGTCTCCAACCCTCATTTACAGCATGGAGTCATCAGCCAAGTCACCCCTGACTCTGCTAAGCGTCCTCGGAGGCGCTGGTCTCATCGTATGGGCTCCCTGGAGCTGATGGTGAAATCCATGCTGGACCTTAGGCAGCTGGAGACCTTTGCTCACAAGAAAAACCCCAACTGCCCCCCTCACGACAGAGAGAGACAGAGCACGTCCAGCCTCCAGGAGCCCATGGTATGCATAGATGGGCAGGATGTCTACGAAAGAGAAAGAGGGAGCTGTGTGTGTAATTGTACTGCTATACTAAGTCACCTGTGCTCATTTTCTGCAGCAGCAGTTGGAGGAGAGAGCCAAGAGGCATCGGCCCTGGCCACCCGCTGACTGGCTGTCCTCACACCCATCCAAGGGCATCAGGGGGACTGATGGAGCTTTGCCGTACCCCGAGGAGAACGAGGGCGACACGAGTCTACAGGGCAGGTAAATCCCTGCCTGCTGCACACAGTTTTCATCACAGTGACCTCGAAAGAGAACAAAAGCGTCTTTGTATTCTTGGTTTAATGTTTCCCTCTCTGCCCCGTTCCTCATTGTTTCCACCTCTCTGTGTTTTCATACGTCAGTGATTACATGATGAAGGAGCAGCACTGCAGGACGCAAGGGCGAGGGATCCGCAGTGAGAGCCAGGACAGCCGCAGCCCGGACAGTGCTTGCTCCTTAGGCTACGACAGCAGGGACTCCAGCCCAGATTGTGTCCTGGATGGTGAGGACAACAACAATAAGACACAAAATAACAAAAAGACAATTAAGGCAGTGAACAGTTGAGATGTACCTTCACTAGAATGAAGACACAAGGGCACAAAATATGAAGATTGGTATTGGTAAAGCTACTTTTATATGCATACATTTTGAAAATTTCTGGTTTCAGCATCCCCCAGTGGTAGTATCAGAAAAGACATGTGGCTGACAGCAGTGCACCCTGTACCCCCTCCCAAGATTACACAAATGTCACCAGGATTATAGATATTCTGCAAACAAAAACTAATGCTTTAAGATTATTTAAGGAATTTTGTACATTTATTAATTTAAGATGCTAAAATAATACAAAATTTCAACACATAAAGGCTTTCAGTAACGGATTTTCTTTCTATGGCTTTCAGGCAAAGAAATAGCAGAGTGATCTTGAATAAACAGTCACATTTGTATGCTGTATTTCTGTATTTTTATCTGTCTACATTTCTGTTTCAACTTATAAATATCTACTCAAAGTGTGTCAAGTGCAGGATTTAAAATGAAAGACTAAAATGTACATGAAAGCCATGGTGTTCCTTCAACGTACAGTAAAGCTGATACCTGCTGAGAGGGATTTGAGCTCACAGAGGCTAGGATTTTTTTTTCTGTTTCAAACCTGATAGAAATATGTCAGATAATACTACTATATAAGCCTCAATGTTCTGACTGGTCATTTGTTAAGGATTATCTGGTATCTACCTGTTCTATGCAGTAGATGTATCAAGGTCAATAGGGGTTTGGAAAGGGTTTTTCTTTCTCTCAGCTGTACTTGTTCTTTCTTTTGCTTTCAGATTCTGCAGATGTGGAGTCTCTGAGCCAGGACAGCTCTGATGAGGAGAATGAAGAGCGAGAGGAAGAGGAGCAAAAGGCAGAAGTGACGAGCATGGACGAGGCTTTGAGGACAGTGACTGATACCACTGACCGCAGTCAAGAAGATTTCCTCAAGCAGAACTTTGAGACGCTGGCAGAGAGCTGCAGCACAGGTAACACAGGGCAAACACACACACACTTCCAATTCATACACACACACACACACACACACACACACACACACACACACACACACACACACACACACACACACAATATTGATTAGTCTGGTGGTTTTTCTCTCGTAGGCCTACTGTTAGTTTCTCTTTCTTTTTCTCTCTGTGTCACTGAGTGTTTTTCTTCTCTCTTTGCCACTGTCTCCATTTTCCTTTATGTTTTTTTCTAATGCCTGATGTCTGTCCACAGCTGAGCAGAGCAGAGTCCCAAGGCTCAGTATGTCTTCACGCTTCCTGGCCAGAGGACATAATAACAGGTACTGCTTACCACTTCAGACCAGTGCGGACTCATAGCTATAATTACAAACCCATGTGGACTCACGCACATTGCTCTGCTAAACCATCTGTGTACCGTATGGATCCAGCCAAGCTGTCAGTTTAAAATGACATTGTTAAGTCTCTTATGGTCATTTTGTGTGTGTGAGAACATCATTTTTTATCCTTTGATACTGTATTTACATTGCAGGGTGAAAGACCACAGGGGTGACGGAGTGTATGGAATTTGCTACTGTAAAACGTTATTTAATTGAAGGAATACTTCAACATTTTCTGGAAATTTGATTATTCATGTTCCTGCCAAGAAAGAAATGAGAAAATCAATACCACTTTCATGTCTTTCTGCACTACAGTGAATATGACATTACTGCCAGCAGCCAGTTTATTAGCTTGGCTTAAAGACTGGAAACATGGACATTTGTCCATGTGTCCTGGCTCTGTTCGAAGGTAACATAATCCACCTACTAGCACTAGCTACTAGTCTGCTGGTTGCCTGGCAACTGCTTCTGACCAAGAAATTTTCCAATACATGAACAGTCAAAACAAACAAGATGTAATGCGTTAACTAATTAGGTGTAGAGGTGCTGGTCTTTTCATCTAACTGTTACTTTAATATGGAAGATTTATTTTCAATAAATATAATAAAATGCCACTCTTATATATGTTGCTGGCTACAACCAGGCCAGCAGCCATTAGGCCAAGCATAGCACAAAGACTGGCAACAGCTAGCATGACTCTGTACAAATGCTCATATATATTATATTTTGTATGTAACAACTAACTTGATGGTTCACAGAGGTTAATAAGTTGAACTATTTCTTGGTTGAGCACATTAGGTAGCCAGGCTAGCTATTTCCTGTTTCCAGTCTTTGTGCTAAGCTAATCGGATGCTGGATGTAGCTTCATATTTAACATACAGACATGAGAATGGTATCGATTTTCTTATCTCCAGGTCTCTGCAAGAAAACAAATAAGCACATTTCCCAAAATGTCAGACTACTCCTTTGACATACTTTAGAGGATTAAATTGTGTATTTAACTCTATCCTCTAACCCTGTACTGACTTATCTCTGTGTAGGGGGGTGTCTATGTTTGCCAAAGTGCATGGAAAAGAACAGGGAAGCCACTCTGCTAAGCCCCCCGTGTCAAAAGTACGGCCCTTGATGGAGGATGGCCAGAGCGGAGACATTGAGGATGAGACCGCTGTGTCCCCTGGCAGAATCGAATCGTCAAAGTAAGAAGGAAATACAAACTGGGAGCCGCAAGGGGTTTTTATTTTCAGCCAAGCTTCTGTGGCAGACTTGGATTAATGAATCATAAATACAAAAGTTCAAAAAGCACAAAAGGTACTCTGTTTGTATAAATAAATGATTATAAAACATTGATAAATTCACAGAGCAAGAATGCAGTGGACATTTCTGAGGTCACACAAGGCTATAATATTTATTATTAATATTTTACACTGTTTAAAACCTGCCCATTTTTCACAATCATGCTGTACTTACAGACTGGATAGAGGTAAACAAACACTGGGAGAAATGAACTCCCATTTAGCAGTTATACACGTGCAAATAAATGAGGCTAAATGACTAAAATAAAGCGCAGACACAAACAAAAATAAATGCATGAATCAAAAGAACTGATTTTACTTTGGTTTGTTTTTGACATTTTGTGACTACTGATACTGATACTTGAATGTGAAGTGATCTTAAAGCTGAAGTGTTGCATCTCAGCAGGGCAGATGCTTCGGAGAAGAACTATACTCCTACCCTTAGACCCCCCAAGAAGAAGACTTCAGGGTCCCACCTGTGGAGGATGTCCAACCCTCCATCCAAAGCTCTGCTGCTGTTTGACAGAACAACATGTTTAAAGAAATCACTCTCTGCCCAGAACCTGGCCTCAGACTGTACGTTTCTTCATCATTTAGTTGATATATTACTATGTATTCGCTATTATTTCTGTAATAATGGAATCAGGATTTTTAATGAATTAGATTAGCTCCATTAGGAGCATGAAGATCTGCTGTGAAATATGAGAAATAAGTTACTCTGACTCTGGACAATTCCCTAAAATTGGCAATAATTCATTTATATGATATAATTCTGTATGTGCTTCTATTTTCTCAAAAAAAAAAAAAAAGACACATTAATCTCTACTCCTTCATCCTTTCTCCAGCTCTTGGCTCCCCTGTGCTGTCTGACCGAAGTGCCAGAAAGGGGTTACGTAAGAGACCTCAGCAGCTTTTCCTAGATCATAACATTCCCAGGCCATCCTTCCAAATGTCTTCACCCTCCTCTAGCTCACCACAGTCTCCCGAGTCCCCCCTCCCTTGGGAGAGTCCCAAACTTAAGCCCCAGCACTCCTACATGAACCCCACAGCCAGCTCTATGGCCAAGGGCAGTCGGTCCAACTCTCTGGGAGAAGGTATCCAGATGGGAACACCACCTTGCTCCCCCCAATTCCCTAAGGGCAGGAGGTCATCTGGGGAGCTAGAGGTCGAGCCCCCACTGCTCGCCTCATCTCCAATCACCGCTTTCCCCTCTTCTGTCTCATCATCATCGTCCATCTTATCGTGTCCTCTATCAAACAGTCCCTCCCCTGCTCCTTCCCATCCTACAGCTACAGTTTCACCCACCCCTTTTACCCAGAACGTTCCACCCTCTCGCATCCCGCTTCCCAAGCTGCCTCTCAGCCCTCGACGCAGCCTCTGCTTAGAAGTAAGTCCGAGCTCAAGTTGGTCTGGAGGTCCGGCGAGGGCTTCAACTCCGACAATAGACCCTGGATGTAATGTTACAGGAAACAAACAAGGTTAGACAGCCAGCCTTATACCATATATGTGCCATACACACACACAGTTAATGAACTAAATCCCTAATTATCTTTGTTGCTTTGTGTTTATCTTGTTATTTTTAGCACTAGGTAGACATCTGTCTTTAAGTTTGGATCTCTCTTTGCCAAGTTCACTACCAGTGAAGCTGAGGAGAAGCTCGTTTGCTGAGAGGTACATGTTGACATCACTTTCACCAAACACTTAACCACATGTTTTGTTGCAAGCAGCTATAAAGATTTCTTAACAGCTGTACTAAAATCACCTCTATAAACAGCAAGTGGTACGGTCAGCTAAGCGTTTATTCAGCTGCCTTTTACGTGAGAGTGTTGCAGTGTTAAGCTAATTTCATACATTTTGCTCGTTGTTTTCATGTCAAAATGTCAGAATTTGCATAATACAGTAACTGACACACATTTCTGACATTCCTTCCCAGTGCCAAGGAGCCACGACAGGTGGCTGTAGCTAAAGAGTGCCCTCTGGTGCCCAAAGAGGCCCACACATCGAGTGCTGACCCCAAACCAGGTCGGTCTCCCCGGAATTCTTTTATCAACCTGTCCGTCACAAACACTCCGCCTCTTCACGCTGCTCGCCTTCTGTCTTCCTCTTGTCTGTCCGTCTGTCTCTGTGCCCTCCTGCTGTCAGTACTGTGGTTACAAGGGTGAATCCAGACATGAAGGGAGACAATAATGTTTTGAATTCTCCTCCCTTTCACTTTATTTTAATGTCATCTAGGTGTTCTGTGCGTCTCTTTGGTCTCTGTGTCTTGAAAAGTTCAAACATGTCATGTTTTGCTTTAAGATGACAGAAACATGATTGAGCAAGTACTGTGGAATGCTGCTCAAAATGTTAATTACTATTGAACAAAACACCAGGATTTCTTGCAACAGGCTCCAAACTTGAACCTTGACGCTCCCTTTTGATGATAATACATTAATAAATGATCATTTAACATTAACACATCTCAATTATCTGAATATGCTGCTCACTTGGGTAGAGTTAAAATCTGGTGAATCTTAAAATAACTTCCTCATCCTGTTCTTCATGCTTGTCTGTCTGGTGTTTTCATAACTGCCTCACAAAGTTAACATTTCAATTTGAAAGCACACTGACCATGAATGCCATTAAATGATACCGAGTCCACATTTGTACCTACAGCTGTGTTTTGCTGGAGGATATAAACTGTGAAATCATTTTTCTCTTTTTCACAGCTCACACAGCTGCTGCTCTCCAGCTTTGTACAGCAGCCTCCTTGTGTGTGTTTTTTTTCTATAGTTTTCTGCTACCAAGTTTTTTTTTCTATTTCTTTTTATGCTCTTTAACCTTTTGCTTAACATTTACTGTGCACCCACATCACTCGATAACACTGTGTGTTTGTGTGTATCTATTCTGTACTGTATGTGTGTCTTTGTGCGCACTCCACATGCGATGCGGTACTTGAAAGAGTCATTCTCTCCCTCTCTCTGCAGATCACTCCATCACCTTGGAAACTTGTAAGCAGGCTGTTACTGAGCTTCACAACAGTCTGAGGAAAACCATCATGCTCTACACTACGGTCAGTGAGTGTGTGTCTGTGTGTCTATGAGTGTGTGAAAATCAGAACAAGAGGAGATGGGGAATTAAAAGAGCATGAAAAGAACCAGGAGAAAGACGAGGAAAAGAGAGAGATGGTGAAGATAAAGGAGGAATAGATAGAGATCACTTCTCACGTATTACACGCCTGTTATTGCTTATGTTCCTGTTATTGTTATAAATTGCACGTATAGGTAGATAATACTGTTGATTCTTATGTAATTTTTGAAATCCTACATTCTTATAATGGACTGTTTTTTGTCACTGTTTTGCATTTTAACTTCTGTGGATGCTGCTGCTGTTTGCTCTAATTAGCTCCCATTTTGACACATACATTTTTACTTAACTGTAGGCCTGAAACAATTAGTCCATTAATCAGTTCAATAATTATTATGGAGTATTTTCATAACTGATTAAAAACATGGCAAAACTTTTTAGTGGTTCTATCTTCTCAAATGTAATATTGTGCTGCTTTTCTTTGTCGTATATGATAGCAAACTAAATAATAATACTATTTTATTTGTATAACAAATAACAAAGTGCTTCGCATGATTCAAATACAAACATCAAAACAAAAGTGAAATGCAAATGAAATTAAAAAACATCACACAATAAAAGCATTTTTATAAAAGTGTGTCTTAAGAAGTGAAATAAAACGGGAAACTGACTCTGCAAGTCTGATCTCCTCTGGTAGCTTATTCCAAAATGTAGGGGCTCTAACGGCAAAGGCCTTGTCTCCTTTGGTTTTTTAACCTAGACCTTGGAATGGCCAGCAGTGAACTACCAGAGGATCTCAGACTGCGTCCTGGCTCATAAGGGGATAAAAGTTCAGAAAATAGAAGGAGGGGCCAGCCCAAGTCTGGCCTTAAAAGTAATTAAAAGAATTTTAAAATCAATCCTAAAATTAACGGGCAGCCAGTGAAGGGATGAAAGGACCGGAGTGAGGTGGTCACATTCTTTGGTTAGTAGCCGAGCTGCAGCGTTCTGAACTAACTGTAGGTGATGGATTGATTTTTGACTGAGACAGGTGTAGAGAGAGCTGCAGTAGTGAAGGCGGGAGGAAATAAAAGCGTGGATAAGTTTCTCTAGGTCTACAGCAGAAACTAGAGACTTGACCTTGGCTATGTCCCTCAAATGATAAAAACATGATTGAACAACTTTCTTCACCTGGGGCGTAAAACACAGATCCTGATCAAAAATGACTCCAAGGTTTTTGGCTGAGGGGTAAATACTTTTTGGTTTTTGACTGTTCGTAGGACAAAACAAGCAACTTAAAGACGACGCCTTTGGTTTAGTGATGGACGCGTTTAGGGCTGAAACTGACCAACATATTCATAATCAGTTTATTTGTTGATTATTTCCTCACAATTGAGAAACTGGAACCAGAAGATAGTTGGTATTTTTGCTTTAAAAATTACCGATTATCAAAAGAATTCATTTCTGTTGATCAATTAATGGACTAATCGGCTCAACAGTAGACACATTTCACTATTTTATAGACAAAAAGATTATTTGGTAAATTGGTAAAAAAAAAAAAAAAATAGCTGACAGATTAATTGATCATTAAAACAGTCGTTAGTTGCCACCCAACCTGATGAAAAAGTCAAACACACTGGTAAACAACCTGTATACCTGTCTGCCTGTCTGTCTCACTCGCTGCTTGTCTGACTGGTTTCTGTGTGTATGGTTTAATTTAAACCAGGTTCTCCAGTGCGGCCAACAGCCCAGTGAGGATCAACAGCAGATGAGGGGAATCCTGTCCGAGGCCCTGTTCACGGTCAAGACTGAACTAGACTCTCTGCCTCAAGCCTCCTCACAGAGTGAAGGGTCCCAAGTGGACCAGGAGGTCAAAGGTGAGGGGGAGAAGGCCCTCGCTCTGCTGGAGCAGTACGCTGAGCTGCTGCTGAAGTCTGTGGAGAGGAAACTAGATACCAAGACCTGAGGAGATAGTCTGACTGTTATGCACACTGCACACTCAATAGCACTGTGAATTGCACATTTGTTATTTGCACAGAGATCTTTTAGAACTCTAGTTACTGAACTGTATTGACTGAAAGCGGATGAGATGTCATTATATTAGGAGAAAACTGAAAAAAAAAGATGTCAGGTATTATGCACTGAAATAAGAATGAGTAAAAAAAGGTTGCCTTATTTTTCAAAATGCCATAGTTTGTCTGTTTTCCACTTTTTTAAATCGTAATGAGTCGCAAAATGTTATGAAGGGAGACACTAGAGGGACAATGATGGTGAAGTCACATGAAGAGCACTGGTAGTTGAAAACTGGTGAAAAGATGTAGTTGACTAAACGCTGTGTTTGGGTTACATAATTCATCCTGTGGTATTGGGCATTATTTAAGTTATAGATAGTTATGTTTTGGTAAAGGCTATGAAGTCTGAAGCCCCTATAGCGCCCCCTGGAGGCTGCAGGTTCCATTATTCCATTATCTTTACCAGTAGTGAGGCTCTTAGAATAAAAATCAAAAATCCATCCTAAGGGTGGCGTTACAGCTATTTCCTGCCTGGTCACTGGTCTATGCATCTTGCTCCAGAACAAAGTGCTGACTTCTGGACAGGACTGTAGCATCTCCAGGCCCAATATCATGTGGGAAAAAATGGTACTGTTTACATATTAAAAAAGAGAGGGTCATGAGAGAGAGAGAGCATGTTTAGGTCACAGGGCAGAGTAAGTGAAGTTAAGGTGTGAGGACAGAAATGATGATGCTGCCAACAGTGTCTCCCTCATTGCAGAAGTAGCAGTAACATGTGCTTATCATTACTTAATGTATATCAGACAGTAATTCATTTTTGTTAGCTGACGTTCCTTCTGTACATGTCTGAGTGTTCTTGTAGCGCTGGTTTTAATGTTCTAATGGGGTTTTAGATTTCTCTGGAAGAGATTTTTCTTCTGTGTTACTGTCATACAGTTTCTAATTACAGCACTGTTCTATATGGTCTCTTACAAAAATAAACATGGAGACGTTGGTGTTGATTATTTATTTCTAACTGACAATTTTATCTAAGAATCATTACAGTTAACAGAACCCAAGAGAACTGAGACATAATTGTTTTCAGACAATATTGATACATGTATTATTTTCTATTAGTGGTAATTTAATGAAATTGGAAAGATTGTACACAATAAATAGCATTAGCATATTTATAGTGAAAAGCTTTATGTATATGAAAGGGTTAGCTTTGTAGCAACTTACTGTGGCACAATATAGAATGAGCTCAGCTCATGTGATTATTGATATTACATCACATACTAACACACTTATTCAATCTTTAAGCACCATGATATAAAAATGGGAAGGCTTTAGTGCCTCCACAGTATAGTGTATTAGAAGCCTGTGTGTTTGTGTGTGTGTGGGCAAATTTTCTATATGTATCCCCGTATGCATTTCTGCTGCATTTACAACACACACACACACACACACACACACACAATGTGTTTCCTATGGAAGTGTCTCCAAATTGACATAGGTAAGGACGACATCATGCAGGATGTTTATCCTGTCAATCTGGTTGAGCTCTCTGACACGGTGTCGGAACTCAAACAGCGGGAGGTTGTTCACTGCCACCCTGAACGCCTCATGAGTGCACAGGATCTTCATCTGGAACAGAGCCATCAAGACTGTGAGCTATCGTACATGCAGTGCTCAAATAAGTTCTTGTGTTGTGCCAAATCTTTTAACTGGCATTTCATTAAAGGATAACAATGTACAGGGGGATTTTTTGTCAATGCAAAATCCAGGGAAACTTCAAGGCGCAAAAGCAAAGAAACACACTGCAGTTGTCAGTAAACATGGACACAAGGACTGTTTGACACAAAGACAGAATTAGCTTAGATTAGTTACTGCTTGCTGATGCCTGTAAAGCGTAATTGTTATTGATGTTATTGAGCAACACAAGACCCCCACTGACCTCCAGGAGCCTCCCTGCAGTACATCTGTTCCCTTATCTAGGATTCGCTTGCACAAACGACTTTCCAACCCTTTCCATCTTTTCCAAACGTTAGCCTGACGTTAACCATGAGAAAGTGACCTGGAGTCAGTTAAAGGCACCATGTGTAGACTTTTGAAACATCAACATCTTGTAAAATTCAAATGAGACAGTGGTTAAATATGATTAGTAGCTTCTAGTAGACGTTGACACTTCAGGTGAATGAATGTGGTAAAGATTTTATTTATGTTAGCATGCTACACATAGCAATCTTAAAGCCCAGTTCCTCAGTCCACCATGTGGTTAGATCCCATTTTCTAAAACTCACCTCAAATGGGCTCCCAGGAGCGAAGGGGAAGGGTCCCTTCAGGTCCCTCTCCTCTGGGCCCCAGCGCTCACCCAGTTTGTGGTTACGGACCACCACCTGTTTGCCCCCCTCACTGAAGCGAGGGTTGATATGAAAGGCAATGTCATTGCCTCTCAGAAAGTTCACTGTGAACCTGTGGGAGAGCAAAGCAGGTTGGACTTTCATTGGCACTGTATTGTCTCCGTTGAGTAGAATTTGTGTGTCTTTTCACAAGATTTTTATAAACTGTACGTAACATGAGATGAGAGGTTATGTACGAAACAGCATAGGGAGACACTTTAAGTACATACAAATAATCTTACATTTTAGCATTAGGTTTGACATGACCCAAGATGGTCATCATCATCTTGTCATACACCCCACGGGCCAGGTTCAGGTTGTATGGCACACTCTAAACAGTGAGAGAGGGACCATTAAACAACCTGGCAACCAATCAACATTGTAAGATTAATGCAAGTGAGATTCCTTGCATTTGACTTACCAGAGGTCCAGATGTGGGTGGAAGCCAGTGTACAGGCACGAGAGACGGATTCTGTCCAGGCCATCCTGACTGTCCCGGGTTATAAGGCCAGCCAGGGTGGGCAGGCCACCCTGGTACATTTGGATGGATGCTGGTAGCATGAGCAGGAGCGGGTGCTGGGACTGGGACTGGAGTCGGAGCTGGGACTTGAGCAGGGACCTGAACTTGAATTGGAGCTGGTGGCTGTGGAAGCTGATATTGGGTGCCTGGCCAGCAGGGCTGGCAGGGCTGACCTAGAGCTGGAGCTGGAGCTGGAGCTGGCATTATGGTTGTAGTTGGTGCAGGAGCCGGTGTTATGGTTTGCACCGGGGCTGGAACTGAAATTGTTGCAGGGACAGAGACTGGAGCTGGTTGTGGCCCAGGCCAGCAGGGCGTGTTTGGCTGGCCAGTCCAGCATGGTGCAGGCTGGGTGGGCTGTCCTGGCCACCCAGGGAATCCAGTTCCAGACGGTGGCAGGGTGGGCCAAAGGCTGTTAGCCTGTGGGGCAGAACCAGAGGAAGGGCAGCTGCCGCAGAGAGCATCAGAATGCTGAGAGGGAGGAGGAGAGGGGGAGGAAGGAGCGAGAGAAGGGTCAGGGGCGAGGATGGAGATACGGGGAAGAGTGAGGGTGGACAGGACAGAGGACACCAACTTGCAGTTGCAGACATGGCCGTTTGACAAAAGCAAAGATTTAAGCATTCATATTTAGATTGAAAAATGAGGAGAAAAGCAATGTTTTGTGTCATTCTTACCAGTGTAGCGATCTGAGAATTTGATGAGGTACTTACATCCATGCTGCCTGTCAATACAAGAGTGCACTTTTAATTACTTTACAGCTTTTTTTATTTATTGTGAGTATAATTATGGTCTCCGAGGACTTTACAACAGACAGACTGGAGAAAACCAAAACAGATCTTAGTCAGAAATGAAAAAAAGAAAATGGAAATGCCACGTTATGAGACATGACAGCCTGCCAAACTAAGAATAAACCTTAAAACCCATGATTTGGAACTATTTTATTGAAACAGTATAAAATGTATTCACTTCTTTTATTTTATTTTTTACAAGTCACAGAGCATGCATTGCAGTCATAGTTCTCCAGGTGACCACCAGAGGACTCTACAGCTTTTCAAGATGCCAAACTGACAGCAAACATTTGCTGCACTGCATGACTATTGTGTTTCCATATAGATATACATTGTTAACTAAAGCTTATTGGATGCCATGGGATGTACTAATTGAATGATAACAGCAGAAGCTCTCCTGAGTCACACAGAAACATAACGGCACATTGATTGTGGGTTGTATGTGCAGTTAGAAAGGAATGTGCAATAACAATGATTCTTCGGTGTCCGCTCCATACCACCAATATATGATTGTTCTTGTGACTGCAGATTCAATTGCTGTTACTAGGTTATTTAAGTAACTACATAGATTTGCTATTTCATCCAGTTTAATGGCTGCTGTTATTAGAAATACAACCCAGATATTTATGATTCTCAATTGTGTATTGTAGGTGCTGTGCTTTAAAAAATAATATTACTCATATAAATACATATTAAGACAAAAGTTCTAATGGCATTTTATAATTCTGTAGTTTTTCATCAATGAATTTAAATCAATAGCTTTGTTTTTGATCATGCCATAATCATAACTAATATTACTAATTAACACACAGCAATCAAGCGGATAAGCTACATATACACATATGAAGTGTATGTAAGTATATTCTTTTATTAGGTTAACATTTTATCACTTTATCATTTCATTTGTTTAGTGCAAACCTGCAATATATATATATATACTGTATATATATACATATTACAGCAGGACATTAGCCCAGGACCTGAGAATACATTCTATTCCTGATACCATGAAAACTTTGAGCATGATAGAAATGATAGAAATATGAAGTATTTCATACAAGCTGCAACAAATAAAATTGGATTGAAATTTGTTGAAGTTACCTTTTCTTTTCTTTTGTCCTCAGGTGCACCCAGGAGCAGGCTGCAGGCTGTGGTCTAGTTTAGGTGAATCAGTGCATGTAGCACAAAGCAACTCTCTTTTATAGCCTCAAACCCTCTCACCACTTGGTCACTCCTCACTTCATCACTCCACTTGTCAGAAAGAAATGCCACACCCTCACATGTCTCAACATATATGTAAATAAGATGTGGTGAGCAATATGTAACCTTTAAATTTTTAAATATGCAACTTAATCCATTTGGTTTTGTTCTTGTTATATTTATTGTCTCGTCCTCAGGAGACTTTCCAGACTTCAGTTGGTACTGAAAGTTAAGAAAGTCTTAAATAAAATAAAACTTAAAGGAAGGAAACTTGAAGTGTCTAATAGTCAAATGCTAGGCTGGAAACAATATCAAACCACTGAAACTATACAAAATGGTATATAATCTCTATAATCTCCACATTCCTAGATCCACTGAAAGCACAATGACCTGTTTTTGTGTTAATGTGGTTCCCTTCACTGTTGAACAGTCATGGGACAGCGTAACGCTCATGCCATATCTGTCTAGGCTACACATAGTAACACAATTACAGCAGACAGACAAAGAAGTCAGGACTCACTGCTGTTTCTATGTTCCACTGACTCAGCCATTGATAGCTGGAAAGTCAGACATTACTGCATGGTTCATCCTCTGGTTAATTCACTGCATTGGGCTAAGGCATCAACGTCATACCTCAAATTTCATATTCTTGTGATGGATTTACAGTGGCAGAACTAACCGTCTGGTCTCTTCTAACATGTCAAAATACTGATTTCGATATTTTTGGGGAGAGATGTCAGGGCCTAACTATAAATCTCCAGGGCAACGACTTCATGACAAATAACACTCACATATGTGGATTCACACAATTGCACTGGTTGTTCCTTGCACTATTATTATATTAGCCATCATCTGAGCTGAAAAATGTCAGACATTTCAGAAGCGTCTTCGTATGCTAAGACTTAATCCTCAAAGAATTCAGCGCCTGACATTTATCCAGCTGGGTCTTTAATTTTAAATTCTATCAGCAGACAGAGAATGAAGAGCATCTTTTATATAGTGTACAATTTACTGTAACTCTTGCTGTCATAGCTGACCCTTTCCTTTCTGGTAAGTAAACTCTTAGGGTTAAAGGTAACTATTTTACCTACAAGTACAGCTTTGATTACCAGAATATAGTTGGCCCATACACACACACACACACACACACACACACACACACACACACACACACACACACACACACAAAAAGTAAATTTTTTTTTTTCTTTTGCATTCAAGTAAAAGTTGACTTTCATGCAAATGGCCCACAGTTAGAATCCATTTTATTTCTCACAAAGTGCTTTTTCTGTCCACTGCATACAGGGCCAGTAGTTAGCTGTCTGTCCCATTTTCTGTCACAGTTTTAGTTACGGTGTACTGCTTCCAAGGATATAAATACGTAAGGTATCTTAATTCACAAAACACTTACACACTTTAACAAACAGTGTTTTTAATGACCTTTTCTACAGCTCCTGCTTTAATGCTAGCAAACTATTTCATTAATTAGCACGGACTCTTTTTTACAGACACAATCTTGATGATCTGACATTTTAAATCTACACTAAACCATGTGGCAAATATTCTGCTCAAGTGACAAACCATTGCTTTATGGAGAGGTCATATATAAAACTACTCTATATTTCTGCCACCAGTAAATAAACACACACAATATTATGCTGTTATACCTTCATGCACAATCTTCACACGCACACACACACACACACACACACACACACACACACACACACACACACACACACACACACTCTCACACATTAATTCTTCATGAGTTTATGAGAGCACCCCGTAGCCTGACCTCAGGAGACCAGATGTGGTTGTCAGTACCACACATTAGGCAAGAGAAGGGTGTGGCCATGTCAGACTGTTTGGGAGGTGGGAGCCTCTGCCTTTGTGTGTGTGTGTGTGTGTGTGTGTGTTTGCTTGTGTTTGTGTTTGTGTTTGTGTTTGTGTGGCAGCTCTCAAATCTGTTCAATGGAGCATCTGGGATGATTAGATCCTAATGTCTAATCATCTCCTACAAGCCGTTACAAGGCAAATTGTGTAGTTCTTTTTTTAAAAACGATTTTTAAGTGTTTCCAGAATTAAATAATAAACAGATGAATGCTTGTTTGCTCATTTGGCCATGCACAACAGGGACTGTTGTATATTAGAGCAAACAGTGAAATGTGTGGAAAATGTAACAGCAGTAATTATGTAGTTGTCAGTATATTGATTCAATGATATATCTACTCAACATTTAGAACAGCATTTTTTGCTGAGTAAAACTTAGAGCTGCACTAATCAATATTTTTTTTTTTTATGAACAATGGATCAAATGAATATGTGTGAAAAGTGAAAGTGGTTGCTTGTAGATTTAAACCCACAGAGAATTATCGCAGCTCTGCAGGTCGCCTCAGCTCTGCAGGGAGGTTCAGTGCTTTAGCTCCTTGTTTTGATGGACCACAACTTAACTGTTTTGTTACACTTGTAATAGAAAAATCATATTGTGCACTTTGTATAACCCGGTTTGAACTTTGTGTGACCTGGCTTTTTACATCCATAAATGTGAATCTGTTCCCACATGTATGCTCCTTATCTGGTGCTGTCCGCTACAAACTAAGGTGTAGTTTGTCCTTGAACACACACACCTGCTTCTTCTTGGTAGTTAGACAGTCAGGATGGCACCCAGAATTGTTCACACACACACATCCTGACCCTGCCTCCTTCTTTCTTTCTACACTCTTTGTTCGATATCAGTCTGCAGTCGCACTCTGTGTGACTGTACACTGATCCTTTGCAAAGCTCTTATATGAAATATACAAAGACAACTCGATCATTTTGTCAACTGTTCATTTTCAGATTTCCATCACAAACTTGGTGTCAGAAGTGGGATCGCACGACTTGGGGGTGTCTGCACTCAGAGTCAAAGGGGACTCGCGATCCTGAAGCCAAATCTTCAGCCTCAACCTCCCCACAAAGACGGGTGAGACGGAGGACCTAAGACCCGAGGCCGGACTCACTCAGCGCTGCCATCAAAGATCCTAACTGGTGAGAATGTGAAAATTGATTTCTAAATTAAAAAAGAAAAAGAAAAAAAAGAGAAAAATACACAACAACATGATGAACCTGCAGCCCAAATCCAGGCTCATCAGACGGCTGATCCACAGCTGAGGCCACCACCGCCATATATACCCCGGCCTTCCCCCCATCTCCTTTTCCCCTCATCTATCCTGATACATCCTGCTTATGACAACTTTTGGATGGGGAAACAACAACAAAAGGTCAACAGCATGACTGTGCCTCCCCCTCTCGTACCAGGTCTGGTTTGGTGCTCAAAAGGTCTCTAAATCCATTCAACACCCCGTCACCAGCGAGACCTGACGAAGAGGGAAATGTTCACCAGGTCCTGAATTTCCCCACAGTGGAGGCAGCAGGTGCTGATGGACATCTGATGCTAGTCCACAGACCATGGACTATGGAGGACATGAAACAGGCAATGACTCACCTCCCATCACCATCAGATGGAGGTGGTGTGATATTTGCCGCTGAACTGACTGTATTCTGTAGAGAGTTCCGGCCAACAGCTTCTGAACTGAGACGACTCCTGATGGTCAAAAATGGGCCAAAGTATCAGCAGGATATCCAGAGAAT